AGAACGCTTCCCGTGTTTTGTGCACACATAGTGCTCAGGCACAGTGAGAAGGAAGAAGCTGGTGGGCAGACGTCATGGAGTCACTGGGCTTTCGCCAGCCAGTGCCAATGCAGATCCCCCTGCTGCCCCTACTGAGCCCAGCAAAAGGAACTGCCCTCGGCACGATCCTCCTAATGCCCATCCAATGATGTCACTGCTCTCGGCGCCCTGAGAATGTGGTCCACGCCCAGTACTGCGATCCCGCCTCCTCTCTCACTCTCTTCCCCCGGTGTTAGTCAGGGTTCCCTAGAGGGACAGAACTAAGACGATAGATAGATATATAAGGGAGTTTATTAAGTACTCATTTACACAATCACAAGGTCCTACAATAGGCTGTCTGCAAGCTAAGAAGCAAGGAGAGCCAGTCTGAGTCTCAAAATTGAAGAACTTGGAGGGTGATATTCAAGGGCAGGAAGCATCCAGGAGGGGAGAAGCTGTCCACTGGGAGGCTAGGCCCATCTCTCCTTTTCACATTTTTCTGCCTGGCAGCTGATTAGATTGTGCCCACCAGATTAAGGGTGGGTCTGCCTTCCCCAGCCCACGGACTCAAATATTAATCTCCTTTGGCAACACCCTCACAGACACACCCAGAATCAATACTTTGCATCCTTCAATCCAATCAAGTTGACACTCAGTATTAACCATCACACCTCCATATTCTCCAAATAGCCTTTCTTGTTCCTGTAGTTTGGTTCATTCCCATCTCAGGACCTCTGGCTGGCTGATCATCCTACCATCTTCACGTGGCACTGTCAGGCCTCCGAGGCTACGGCTTCAGTGTAACCTAAGAGAGGGCCCCCGACCGCTGTGGCTAAAGCGCGTCCTGTCCCATCAGACCTCCTGTTTCCCGTCGGCCATCTGTCCGCTCTATGAGGCACACCCTCTATGGTGCAAAGAGCTCAACTACCTGGTGATCACTGGGCCCAGGGACAAGCACAGATATATCTGTTGGATACATGAGTTAGTGCCTGGTCCCCTGGCTCTGCAGAACACCCAGGAGAAGCCACTTGATTGGGACACAGAGCTGTCACTGAACTGAAAACCACTGAGGGCACAGGCTGAGGTCTGGTGGCCGTGAGCAGCTGCTGATGCACATTGTTCTTTGAGGACCAGGAAATCGCCTGCTTGCCTGCCTGAGTGGGCACTGGGCTTTTGGGATTCAACTTGAACTAGAATAGAAACTACATTCTGGCTTGCTCACAGCTCTGTTCTTTGGGGATTTGGGCGGGGGGGGGCGGGATTTGAGACAGGGTCTTGCTCTGTCAGCAGGCTGGAGTGCAGTGGTGCAGTCACAGCTCACTGAAGCCTCACCTCCCAGGCTCAAGTGATCCTCCCGTCTCAGCCATCTGAGTAGTTAGAACCACAGGTGCACACCACCACACCCAGCTAATTTTTTTAAAAGTTTTGTAGTCAGGGTCTCACCGTGTTGCCCAGGCTGGTCCCAAACTCCTGAACTCAAGCAATCCTCCTGCCTTGGCCTCCCAAAGCACTGAGATTATAGGTGTGAGCCACCGTGCCTGGCTCTTTCGGGTTTTGACAGGGTGCAATCTCAGCTTTAAGGGCGCACACCCACTCTCATATTCACACACATATGTTCACACACATACACATACATTCACATACACACATAAGGCCAAAGTGTTGTAAAAACCGACATGTCTGCCGCACAGACCTCCCAGTCTACCCTTCAAAATACAGAGATGTGCGAACAAGCAGCATCGCCTCTGCACACGTGCACATACGCGCTCCACCCAGCCGGTTCTCCAGCTCCTGGGCGGCAGGACCCAGCGGGGTAGCCCCCACCCCAGCTCAAGCGAAGCAGCAGCTGCCCGAGAGAGATGGAGTCGGGCAGAGGCAGTCCGATGCCTTCATTCCTGTGGGAGGGGCTGCGACTGTGTCACCATTCCCCACCCTTCGGGCTCATGGAGCATTCTCCACCGGCCACCAGAGTTCGGGGAGGGCACTTGTCACCCTGAGAGGGAGCACATCTCCCTGCCTCCTATACAGCTGAGTGCAGTCGGGTGACAAGAATGTGGCCAAGGGGTGGAGGGCCGATGTTAGGTCACCTCCTCCATGACTGTGGCGAGCCAGCATCTTCCAAGTCGACAAGACCCGCACACCACGGGAGGCAGCAACCATGCTGAAGCGCAGGTCCTTGAGTGAGCTTGCAAAACAAAGCCACCGACCCGCCCAGGCCCACCCATTCACCTCAGGGCAGTGCCAGGAGGAAAAACACATTCCTGCTTGAGCCAGACTTGGGGGAACCTGTGAGAGCAGCCCAGCCTGAACCTAGTGACTGACCATCCGCCATAATTCCACATGTGACATTCCCTCTGAATGCCTGAGCCCTTCACGGGATAGGATGAGGCTGGGGCCTCAGGGGAAGTTTTGTTCCCATGAGCCTTCTCCTGGCATTTGCAGACTCGAGGGAAGGGGCTCTTCTGTTCACCTTCAGCCATGGTAACAGGGGTGTTGTGATGCCAGGAAAATGCCTTTTCTAAAGCGTGTGGGTTTCAGGCCGTCTGCTTGGGAAACAGATGAGTGAGCCAACCTGGGCTCAGATGCCACCATGGGGACAGCGGGGCGGTTGCCTGCAGCTGGAGTTGATCGGTTCAGCTCCAGCGTCCCTGAGGAGATTCTGCCCAGGCAAGAAAGTGGGGCTTGGCAGCCAGAGCGTGAGAAGGAGACCTCCAGGCTGGAGAAAGGTTCCTGGAGGTGGGCAGGAGGGGCCTGGAGGAGGACCAGCTGCTCAGAGGCCTGCTGGCCGTGGGAGACAGCAGAATCCTGGCAGCCCCAGCCAGGCTGTGTGGCAGATCCTGATGGCTTCAGAAGCTGCTGATGGGACAGGCCTGGTGGGGAGCTGGAAGAAGACGAGGAGGCGCGGTGCAGCCCACGGCCATCTCAGAGACGAAAAGGCAGCCGGCCGGCAGGTGGTGGCTTTTTTAGAGTGATGCTCGGGCCAAGGAACGTCAAAAGCAGGCTCAACACCGCGTGCACTCAACTGGCTGTTGTTCCAGACCATCTGTCTCTCATTAATGAAGTTGTCCGGCAGGGCTGCTTAATAAAGATGCGTGGGCTTATTCAGCCTGGGCCGTCTTGCTGGAACTAAAGGGCACGCTGATTAAGCTGTGATGACTCCGCAGGCGCTGTCAACATGAAGGGAATCTCCAAGCACCCACTAGAGGAAACGACCTTGGAGGGCCCAGGCCCGCCCTGAACCCTAAGGCCCGCAGGCAACCGGCAGGGGAGGACAATCCCAGCCCAAGCGTCATCAACCAGGGTTCCCTGCTGCTCAGTTCCTCCAGCTCAGGGCTCACCTTCCCAACAACCACCATCCACTTCTTCCTCAGCCATCAGGACCAAGACTGTTTGCAAAGTGAGGTCAGCAGAATAGCAGCCCTCTGAAGATACCCACATCCCATTCCCTGGAACGTGTGAATGTGTTAGGTTACACGGTGCTATGATTTGGATGTGGCTTGTTTCGCCAAAACTCATGTCGCCATTTGATACCCCATGTGGCAGTGTTGGGTGGGGTCAGATACCTCCCGAATACACTCATGCCCTGGGTAGGGGGGCAGTTCTCACTGTCACTTGCGCTTCCTGGGAATGGATTCGTTCCCGAGGGCACGGTTGAAGGGTCTGGTTTCCTCTCTCACCACGTGATCTCTGCATGCACCTGCTTCCCCTCCGTGTTCTGCCGTGAGTGGAAGCAGCGTGAGGCCCTCACCAGACGCAGCTGCCCAGTCTTGGACTTTTCAGCCATTTACAAACCAAATAAACTCCTTAATAAATTATTAATTTATACATCACCCAGCTTCAGGTATTCTGTTACAGCAAAATAAAATGGGCTAAGGCTTGGTGAGGGGGAGTGAGGGCTGTAGACAGAATTAAGGTTGCAAATCAGCACACATCAAAGCAGGGGAATGCCCGCTGCAATCACAGGGGGTTCTGACATGTGGACGAGGTGGGTGGGAGTGGCAGCGTCAGAGCGCTGCAGTGAAAGAGGGTGCGACCGGCCACTGCTGAAGGCAACAGGACACCAAACACAATGGCCTCTAGAAGCAGAAGACAAGGAAATGGATTCTCTCCTGAAGATTCCTGAAGACGGCCCTGCTGTCACCCGGGTCAGCCCAGTGAGACCCACAGCAGACTTCTGACCTCCAGGACTATAATAAATTGGGGCTGTTAAGCCACTACCTTTGTGAAAACGTGTTACAGCAGCTGTCAGAAACTCACAAAGAGGGAACAGGTCCTGTTTGAAATACGCAGACCCCTGATGCCCTTGCAGCAAGGGCGGCCGTGTATCCCCATGCTGGCTGGTGAGGCCCAGCAGATGCTGCTGGGTTTCCAGAAAAGCCATCGTTTTGTGGATAAAAAGGAACACACTCCAGAGATGGAGCTTTCTGCCTTTCCCAGCCCCCTTGTCACTCCCCCCTTCTTCCTTCCTGGAGCACTGATGAAAGACCAGAGGTGGGGCAGCCACCCCAGACCAAGATGATGACTGCCTCATCCTGAGGACAGCAGAGTGCAGGAGCCAGGAGCCAGGACTGCTGCACTGCAGTCGCTGCCTGGCCCCGGGAGAATGGACCGCCTCCAGCTGCCTGTGTCTTGAGAGCCATAAAAGCTGCTGGGCCAAGCCTGGATTCTGTGGCATGCAGCCAGACACAACCCAAGTGACATGTAGCTCTTGTGATGACAAGAAAGGAGCTGACGTCCAGAACCTGGCTGGCTCTGGGTGCTGGGGGATCTCAGGGTGGAGGGGGCCCAGGGTGCTGGCTTCACACTGAACGGTGTTCCTTGGCCAGTCACAAGGGACTGTGGCTAAGGACCAGGGCCATGGGGAGTGCCCCCAGCAATTCGAACCACACAACTGCAGGGCACAGCTGCTGGTGGGCGCACAAGCGCAACCAGCCTCACACCCAGATGCAGTCTCCCCCTTCCGAGAAAACCCAAGCACACTGTGCGTGCGTCGTGGGTGCTTGTGCACACACACGTCTATGTTTATTGCATAAAATTCATCATTGCACTTTCCTCTATATTTTGTATAATCCAGAAGGATTCCAGAAAGGATTTCATTGTGCTTAGTTTCAAAAAAATACCAAAATGAACATTAGATTACAGATACAGGTTCATATATTGAACTGAATGGTACATCCCAACCGCCTGGCTATGGAAACCCGTGACTTGACTTAGGAGTCCTGATGACGTGATCCCGACAGGAACCCCCGAGACTGGCAGGTGGAGGCAGCAGTGATGCGGTTCCTCCTGAGGACCCTCGGTGGCTGCGTGGTCTGGGCTCACAGCTGGAGGGCTCACCCATGAGGAACACGAGTGGACACCCGCTGCTTTGCAAACCTAATTAACGGTAGAAACACGTAAAGCCATTCAAGTTTGTACAGTAAAGAGATCCTGTATAAAATCCACTCGTTCCTTGGAGGGAAGCTGGCCCCGAGGCATGCTCTGGTTGAATGAGGACATTAGGTCCTCCAGGGACCACATTGCATCCACGACACAGACAGCATGTGAGCAGCCAGCCTGCCGGTCCTAACAGCCAGCTGTGAAAAGCTGTGTCAAGTCACCGGGTTTCTCTTGTAATAGCTAAAGCTCAAAGGCATGATGGGCCCTGAGGGAAAACAGGAGAGCCTGAGCTGGGAAGGGAAGAAAGGGATTTGCACCCTCACAGAGCCGAGTGGGACAAAGGGAGGCGGCGATTGAAGACAGGGTGTAAATGCTCAGGAGTGTCTGTCCTCAGCACCAGCTAGCCACACTGATCCCGCTGCCCTGTGTGTGCAGACACTCACTCTCACCACAGTGCCTCACACGTGGCCCAGACACGCCCTCCTGGTCTCTGAAGGCCAGGATCCCGCTTCCAGTGTGTGGAAGATCCAGGAACCCACCAGATTTTTATCGCTTCTCGGCCTTTTGGCTAAGATCAAGTGTAGGAACCCACCAGATTTAACAACAAAACAGAGAAACAATCCCTCCCCAAGCCTGCAGAACACCTGGTGCGAACATCTTTTACAACAGCTGTAGGTTTCTGTGTCATTTCTTGAGCATACGAAAGTTACAGTGCACGCGGGGGCGGCTGAGCGACATGCCAGCCAGTCCGACTCAGAAGCCCTGCAGCTCAGGGATGTCCCAGTACAGATCCAGGGCCTCGGGGTTCGAGAAAGCACTTCGTTGCTCCACAGCTTTTCCCGCGATCATCTGTTTGACGGCAACCTCCACTTTCTTGCCATTGAGTGTATACTGCAAGGGAAAGGTAGAAAAAACAAGAAATGCCATTTAAAACTGAAGCAGGGAAAACGAGTGGCCCTGGGGATACCCAGGCCCAAAAGGCCCCGCCTCCACCTGGAGTTCCGAGAGTGAATGAGTCTCAGCTCCAAGGTGCCCCTCTCCCCCGCAGGTCTGCAAACATGCCCCGAAGTACAGCAGCTGACAACTGTCCCCTCTGGGTTTGGGGAATAAAACCTGTTCCAAAAGGCAACTTCAAGGCCTGGTGCTGAAACCCAGCTCTCACACTCTCCAGAGCCTTCCACGCTGCCCCTAGCATGGCTGTTGAGAAAACAAGGCTCTTTCCAAGATGCCCCGAGGTCACCATGAGCACGTTCACTTTTCTAACCCTGCACACTCCACTGGGCCCCCTGGGCCCAGCCGCATGTCACATCCAAGCTGGCCTCGAGGCGGCCCTCCAGATGCCCCGCTGACCCCGGCAGTGCAGATTCCAGATGGGAATACAGAAAAAGTGTCGCTCAGCGGTCAGGGCCTGCCTGGTCAGGATAAAAATGCAGACACAGATCATTCCTAATTCCCAGCGGGCACCCCAAGCAAGAAAGTTTTCAGGAAGACGTGGCTTCTGCCACCACCCCCGGGGGATGTCGGGTGAATTCCAGAGCCCGAACTGGTTTCCTGGAACAAAAGTGGGGGTGCCAGCACCTAGCCTGTAGGCTGTGCATCGGGTTGAACAAGTTAGCGCGCACACAGCTTCAGAAGCGCCCGGCTACGTTTTATGAGTGTACTTTTATTTATACTTTCATTTTACTTCTCTCTGTATCTTATCACATGTTATTCTATGATAAAGACTAGCTACTGCCATTACTTCGGGAGTGGCCCAGCTTCTTAGAACTAGGGGCAAAAGCATCCCCAAGGCCCCACGAACTCCCCCTCGGAGCCAGCCATCTGCACGGGATGCTGCATTACTTTTTCTCCTAGTCAGCCCCTTTGCACACATTCAGGGCTCCCTCTAAGTAAGATTCGTGGCACATGTGTATCCAGGCTCGTCCGGATTCATGGCACCTTGAATCCAGACAAGGCTTTGGTGGCGTTCGTGTGCGTTGGGCTAGGAAACTTCACGAGCAACAGAGCCCAGGAAGGCTCCTCGCCCGAGCTCTCCATCACTGGGGCTTTTTTTTTTTTTTTTTTTTTTACCTGAGATGTAATTAAAATTCATTCATTTGAAAAATTCAGTCGATGTGTGAACTAATTAAGGATCTAAGCGCAGGCTTCCGAGGGCCTGCCTGTCACCTCACGCAGTGTCGCTAGCCCTCCCGCCATGAGAAGAAAGCGTCTCGTCTGCTCTGTGCCCCACTATGCTTCACGAAGGGGTCCACATGTAGCTCATGGGAGCTAATAATGCCACCTTCCACCTGCTGGTAAAATACAGAGGCATCCTCTTAAAAGAAATCCTACTACCATTTCCTCTGGGGAGAGGGGAAAGGTAGAGGAAAGGAAAAAGAAAGAGAAAGAAGCCCCCCCCGTACCCCCAACTCCTGCACCGGCCTCCCCAGCTAGACGGGAGCCCAGCAGCCTCCTGTCAGGAGGGGCCAGACATCCCAGTCATGTCCACTGGACTTGGGACAGCCATGGCTGCCTGGGGGCTGCAGGCAGGAAGCCCTCAAACGCCAGGAGTCCATTCCGCTTGGTCATGACCCTCCAGGGTCCCCAGGTCTTTACTCTGGGTGAGCAGAAGGCAGAGCTGACTATAGACACCGCTTCCTTGGGCAGGACCCCTCATCTCTCCGGGTTTCCTCATCTGTCAGATGGGCGTGAGGAAGACAAGCTTGTCCCACCTCACCAGGGTCAGACGACCAGTTCCCCACCCCCATTCACTCACCAGACACCAAAAGCACCTGCTGTTTGCCAGGCAGTCAGCTGGGCACCAAGGAGGAGGTGAACCCACAAGGTTCCTGTCCTCAAGGAGCCTCCACTTCAGATAGAAAGCTGTGGACATACACAAGAACTCACCCTCAGTCCATGGCACACACTGTGACAGCTACAGATGGAGGCCAGGACACTGGGAAAGCAGGAAATGCAGGAGAGTCTCGGACACTTGAGCAGAGAGCAACTGAGGTCAGGGGTGTGGAAGGGCTTTGCGTGGTGCGCAGACCCACTCCGAACAAAGGCTGAGAGTGAGCAGAGGCAGCATAGAAACAGAGGCATGGAGGCTGCGTTCTGGGCACCCCATGGCCCACCGCACCCACCAGGCAGGCTCTGCTATCAACCCACCTTAGAGATGAGGAAACTGAGGCTTGGATGCTAAGTGAGTTGCCCAAAGTCATACCTCAGAGGCAGAGGGGGAGCCAGGGGTAAGCAACAGAGCCCCTGTGCATAAAGACCCGCTGTGAAGGCTGGTGGTGGGAAGGCCCACGGAGGTCACAGCTCCCCAGTCCTCAGGGTCTGCTCGCTCCACTGGTGCCACATCATCACCCTGAGCTGTGGCGGGCAGGTGGCAGGCGGGTGATGGGTTCCTCTCCTCATGTCACAGGCCGGAGATGGGACGAGTCTTACTCAACTCGAGGAGTGGGGCTGGCTCTGGACCCAGATCTCTCCTGAGCACTCGCCAGGGCCACCCCAAAATCTCAAAATTGGCACTGGCTTCCCAGGGAACAGAAGCAGAAGTGTCTCTCCACAGAGACAGAGACAGGCCGCCGGCTACTGCCAGCACTCAGATGCGCCCCAGGCTCAGGCTATTCTCGGGGTGGTGCGGGGAGGGTAGCCCATTCCCCACAGGCACCATGTGAAGGGTCAGACCTGCAACATGCTCTCCCGCCTCAGCAAGGCCCAGGACTTTGCAGATAGGACCTCAGTTGTCTTCTTCTGACCCTGAAGTGGGTCCAGTTCCCACACCGTGTCACCTCCCTGTGGAGGCTGGGCCCCCCCCTAGCTTGGAACAAAAGAGCTAAATCCTCTCCTAAGCCTGCCGTGAGGGTCCAAAAATACAAGGCCATTCAAAAATCTGGAGGAACCCTCCAAATGACTTCCTGAATGGGCCTAGGAGACCCTATCCGGGGAGACAAAGAGCCCAGAGCCCAGCGGGGCGCCCTGGCAGCAAGGCCACGAAAGCCAGGATAACCCTGGAAAGAAACGAGATTAGTTTGTTCCCTTCCTAATAAACTGCTCCACTGCTCTCGTGATCAGATATGGTTTGGTAATAACCATTTTGGCAGCAAAAGTCCCAAGTTCTTTTTCAATCAAAGCCATGGGGACAAATTCAAATTCCACTTTCCTAAAATGTTCCAGATGAGACCGCACTGATTCACCGAAGGAAGACCGCAGACCCTCATCAGCAAAGACAAGAAGGGTCACTGATTCAAGAACTACCTTCTTGGAGAGCACCGATGACCCCACAGAGAGGTGCCAAGACTCGCCAGCCAAAAAAAAAAGGAAAGAGACTGATGGAAAAGCCCCCAAGCTGCAGGGCTCTGCCCACACATAACCAGAACGCAAAGGAGAGGCGTGGACACCGTAGAAACGGAACGGACGCCGCAGACGAGGGCAGGCACCGGGAGGAGGAGCAGCGGCCCGAGCGGGAACCAGTCCCTCAGGGATGGGCAGGGATTGCACGCGGGCCCATGCTGCGAGTGCCCTCCCCAGCCGACTCCTCAAAAGGTTGTTTTGAAAATGTTGAAAGAACTTTCCAAAGGGAAAGAGAACAATCTTTCTCTTTCAAAAGTCAATGGCATCACTTATTTCAACATTCTCCAGAAAGCAGCCTCCCCTGGTAAACCCCGTCTCTGGTCACACCTCACAGACTCAGCCCTGCTCCCGACAACATCAAAGTCAGCTTCCCCAGTGAGTGTCTGTTCCCACCTTCTCCTTAATGAACAGCCAATCCATAGGCTTCAAGTACAGCCTGCTACTGTCTGTTTAAATTGTGTACGTTCACAGACACACTTGCACACACACACACACACACAGCAGCTTCTGTCAGCTTGTCGGGGTATCCGTTTTGTAAGCAATGCGAATTAAAGCTGTGATCCCATCTGGGGGAGCCCCCTCCTCCTCGACTTAGAATCCAAGCAGAGTGTACTGGGGCCAGGGCTGGGGGGGCAACCACACAGCCTTCTGAAAAAGAGTCAAGTCTTGTCATACCGGCTGAACTTAAAGTTAAAAGGCAAGACCAACGGCTCGCAGCAGCACTTTAAAAAGTTAAAATTGGCCAGGCTCGGTGGCTCATGCCTGTAATCCCAGCACTTTGGGAGGCTGAGGCAGGTGGATCACCTGAGGCCAGGAGTTTGAAACCAGCCTGGCCAACATGGCAAAACTCCATCTCTACTAAGAATACAAAAATTAGCCAGGCATGGCAGTGGGCACCTGCAGTCCCAGCTACTCAGGGCTGAGGCAGGAGAACTGCTTGAACTTGGGAGGCAGAGGTTGCAGTCAGCCAAGATTGAGCCATTGCACTCCAACCTTGATGACAGAGCAAGACTCAGTCTCAAAAAAAAATAAATAAATACATAAAATAAAAAGTTAAAATGAATGTCCTCATTAAAAATTTTGAGAACACACTAAAACCAGGGGTTAGGAAGGGGAAGTTGGCTGGACCTGCAGGGCTCGGCGCGCTAACCCTCCGAACATGGGTATTTAGCAGACACTGCTTTAAATGCAGTCTTAGGAAGGGTACGGAAAAGGGTGGCAGGGAGGATGGCGTTGCTAGGCAACGTGGACAAACGATATATAAAGCACCAGCAAGCTGCTCAGATATGAGTGCCCCTCGATGTGTGGGCTCGGGGGGCGATGGCAGCGGTCTCTTCGCTGGCAGGAGACGGCCGTACCGGGATGCCCTTGGTTTCCAGGATGAGGCTGGGCACGTGCCGCGCAGACAAGCCCACACGGATGGCGTCACGGATCCTCTTCACCAAGTCAGGCTGGAAGGTGTGCCCAGAGGCCATCTTCAGGAAGAGGATCACCCTCTCCTCCCCGTACCTGCTATACTGGGGGACACACAGGCTGTCCTCCACCTCCTCGAAGGATTCCACTGTGGAGACAGGAGAGGTGCACGTTCACACAGGGGGCTCCTCAGCAACCTGGCAGAGCAGGACGGGCATGCCGGGTCCCCCAGGCCTACCAGGGCTGCATGTGTTCTCCCAGCCACCCAGGAGGAGCACTTTGGAGGGACATTTGCTGAGGAAGCATCACAAGTGGAAGAAAACTCATCACTGGGGAGGCAGAAAGAGCTTCAGCTTTGGCAGGACGGGCGATGTTCTACCAGGGGGACAGGTATGGGCCTTACTCACTTAATGAGAAATTAACTCAAGATAAAAGAAAAAAAAAAGGGATGGGTATGGTGGCTCATGCCTGTAATCCCACAACTCCAGGAGCTGAGGTGGGAGAATCCCTTAAGTCTAGGAGATTGAAACCAGCCTGGACTACATAGGGAGACTTTGTCGCTACAAAAATTAAACACTAAGCCAGACATGGTGGCACATGCCTATAGGCACAGCCACTAAGGAAGCTGAGGCAGGAGGATTGCTTGAGCCCAGGAGATCAAAGCTGCAGTGAGCTATGATTGTGCCACTGCCCCCCAGCCTGGGCAACAGGGTGAGACCCTGTCTCAAAAAAAGAAAGGAAGCAGGTGGCCAGGCGCAGTGGCTCACACCTGTAATCCTAGCACTTTGGGAGGCTGAAGTGGGTTGATTGCTTGAGCTCAGGAGTTTAAGACCAGCCTGGCCAACATAGGAAAACCTCATCTCTATAAAAAATACAAAAATTAGCAAAAATTAGCTCGCCTGTAGACTCAGCTACTCGGGAGGCTGAGGTGAGAGGATCGCTTGAGCCCAGGAGGTGGAGGTTGCAGTGAGGCAAGACTGCACCCCTGCACTCCAGCCTGAGTAAGAGAGTAAGACCCTGTTTCAAAAAAACAAATAAGTAAAAATAAAAAGGAAGCAGGGGTCTGTGGTGGGGATTCCACTGGAGGGAGGAGCAAAGGCTGGAATCAGACCGTCGGGATTTCTCCGCCCTGGCTCACAAATGACCTTTACACAAGTTTAGAACTCTGACTGAAGTTCTAGTGAACGAGGCCATCTAACCAACTTTGCAGCCTGGGCCGGGCGGTTTGAAGGCCCACAGGTGACTCACAACCGCACTCCATCCTCACGCAGTTGTGAGACTCACGAGCCTACACTATTTGTGCTTGGTATCCTAACCCTGCACCCTCTCTGTGTTTCTGGTTTCTTCACCCATAAAGAGGAGACACAAGTTGACCCGGCACGGTGGCTCATGCCTATAATCCCAGCACTTTGGGAGGCCGAGGCAGGTGGATCACTTGAGGTCAGGAGTTCGAGACCAGCCTGGACAATATAGTGAAACCCTGCCTCTACTAAAAACACAAAAATTAGTTGGGTATGGTGGTGCATGTCTGTAATCCCAGCTACTGAGGAGGGTGAGGCACAAGAACTGCTTGAACCTGGGAGGCAGAGATTGCAGTGAGCCAAGATCGAGCCACTGCACTCCAGCCTGGGTGACAGTGTGAGCCTTGGTCTTAAAAAAAAAAAAAAGAGTAGCACAAGTAACCAACCCAGCAGAGCTCACCAGGAGGATGAAATACAATGGGGAAGGGGATGGGCCCTAAAGACCCCATCTGAGGTTTCATGAGGATAGCACTGTGGGCAAGCTGTGTTCTGGAAGGGAGGTCGGGCTCACAAATGTCCACTGTCACACCAGAGACCAGGGGGCCACAGTCGTGCCAAAGGTGGGGCCTTTGGAAATGGCCCCTGGGGCTCCAGTCAGCACCCTCCTCCTTCCTGGGTACTCAAGAATGCAAGGGGAGAGGGCGCAGTACGTACCAATGTTATAGATTTCTGAGCTGCCAAACCGCACCCCGTTGGGGTTGAGTGTGCCGTCACTGGAAAGAGAGAAGAGGTCAGGGTCACACTACAGCTCCGGAGTGAGGCAAGTCCCAGGGGTCCCTGGGGAGGGCAGTCACCCCCCCCTCCACATGGCATCCCCAGCACCAGTCACAGACTCTCCCCTCCCCAGCTCCTTGCCCCGCCACCCAGCTCTGTCTCCCTCTCAGGTTAAAGCTCAACATTGAGGGAGGCCCCTCTGCGAGGGAACATCTGTCACCTCACTCCCTTCCCACCTGCAGACACGATCCAGCCTAGGTGTGGACACTGCTATGGCTTTGCTGTGAGATCCCCAACCTGACACCCCCTACCCGAGAACCCCATCACAAGGCAGGGAAATTTGGATCACGCCCAGACCCAGCTCTCAGGAAGGAAGCTGGCACAAGGATGCCCCACCCCAGAAAGGACACAGGAAGGGTCCCAGACAGGGGACAGTCAGCCATGTCGCAGACAGAGCAGACAATGCTTCCTCGGAGGGCGCCTTCAGGCCCAGGGGCGGCATGTGCCCAGCACAGAGGTGGGGAAGCATGGCACACCAGCCAGTGGGCTGTGCGTGGGTGGTGTGGACACCCTGGTGTGGAGTGGAGTGCAGTGCCCAGGAAGGGAGTCACTGACTCTCACAGAAAGCACCTCCCACACACTCCCATGCCTCCGAAAGGTGGAGCTCCAGGGAAGAGAAGCCCACTCTGCAGCCCTCACCTCCGGCCAAGCATGACGATGCCCCCGGTCTTGGGGTTGATTCTGCAGTAGTCGCCATGAGTCCAGATACCTGCAAGGACAGCAGAGACACCCGGTCACAGGAGGAGAAGGGGCCATGACGAGCTGCCTTGACAGACGCTGGGCTCAGGTCTGCAAACATCCGTGGGGCCCAGAGGCAGGTCAGGTGTGGGGCTGGGGGAAGAAGGGAGCCAGGCTGTTCCTGCCCCAAGGAACACGTCCTCTCGTGGGGGCTGCTGCCAGGGCAGCCGACACAGCTGGCGAGGAGGAACGCAGCTCCTCAGGCACCAGCAAAGACCTGGGAATTCGCAGAGGGCAGGACCAAGCTGGGCCAGGGCACTGAGGGTCCACAGGAGCATCTGGAGACAACTCTGAGTGGAGTGCAGGAAAGAACGAGCTCTCAGGAAGCAAGAGTGGCCAGGGGCTGCGGAGGCCACAGGGTGCACAGAGGTCGGGGCCAGATCTTGGAATGGAATACACAAGGTCACGACCACGAAGGAGGCTCCTCCACCAGTGCCACATGGATGGAGAGCCGATTAGCAGGTAAAACCCAGGGGACGGCCAGGCATGGTGGCTCAAGCCTGTAATCCCAGCACTTTGGGAGGCCGAGGCGGGTGGATCACGAGGTCAAGAGATCGAGACCATCCTGGTCAACATGGTGAAACCCCGTCTCTACTAAAGATACAAAAAATTAGCTGGGCATGGTGGCACGTGCCTGTAGTCCCAGCTACTCGGGAGGCTGAGGCAGGAGAATTGCCTGAACCCAGGAGGCAGAGGTTGCAGTGAGCCGAGATCGCGCCATTGCACTCCAGCCTGGGTAACAAGAGTGAAACTCCGTCTCAAAAAAAAAAAAAACAAAAAAAAAAAAAACAAAAAACCCAGGGGACGAGGAGGGTGGGGGAAGAGCAAAGAGCCAGGGGTGACAGCAACACGGTGTCAGCAGGCCACGTGAGTGTCTACACGTGCAGCCGTTCAGAGAAGGCCTGCGCGCTGGGGTGGCACCATGAAGCTATCAACCAAGGGACACAAATCCCAGCTTTGGATGCAGCATCTAAGGAGAGAGGCACCAAACAGTGAAGAGAAGCCACGCATCTGAGAGTCACCCAGGGAGCAGGTAGCCAGCCGGGGCCTCCTCCTCCCAGCTCCCACCCCAGCCCTTCATCAGCCACACTGAGGGGAGCTGGCTGGCTGTAACCAAAAGCACATCTCTGCCGCCTTGCAATGCCGGAAGTCATCTGCCTCAGCAGCAGGTTGGCCTCCTGAAATAACGTCCCGAAGATTTCCTGCGATCCGGAAAGGGAAAACAAGAAGTAAGCCAGCTTCCGTGTCTGCACTGCCGGGCGGCAGCCTCGGAAGGCATCTCTTCCCTTCCAAATCGAGACACTTCTCCGGCACCTCTCCACTCTGCGGCAAGCGCTAACCCAAACAGCTCACGACTCAGCAGCTACGTGGTCTATTCACGCGTTCATGTGACACGTGAAGGAGACACTGCCACAAGCCACAACCAAGGCTTCCACAGGGACGAAGGCCAAGGGACCGTGTGCAGGGACTGTCCCTGGGAGGCAGTGGAAGAGAATGAAATGAGCCCTAAGCTACTTATTCTGATGCAGAAAACAGAATTGCAGCCCTTCAGGTCTTTTCTTCTGCCTCCCCAAGCTAGAGAATGAAACCAAATCTTTCTCACTGGACTTTTAAAAGATTCACATCCACAAATAAGGAAAAAAAAAAATCCACTCCTAGGCTTGCAATTGACAAGCCCGGGTTCTGCAGAAGCACATGTGTATGGCTACTCAGCAAACTGAGTCTATGAATGGCAGCCACGTGAGAGGAGAGCCGCAAGCCTGTCCCATTGGCCTGGGAATCCTGCCTCATTCTGGAACTTCCATGCCAGCAACATACAGTCTTGTTTGCCTGGAGTCAGATCTCCCTTGAATTGCATGGGAAATTTCTGGGTTTTCTGGGCCATTTGCCGTACTGTGCCGCAGAAATGCAGAGGAAAAGGAAGATGTAATTCCACCCTGAAGAAACTCTTTTGTGAAACTGTCCCCTGACACACTTTGATCCCTTGCAAAGCCAAGCTGAGAGGAAGAATCCACAAGTAGTGGCTGGTGCCAGGGCACCACAGAGGAAGAGGCTTGACGGCCAAGCAAAGTCGCAGAAGCAATGTCTTCCCTTCCACAGCAGACTGAACAGATTGAGGTCATTCTCATTCTTCAAGGCATCAACTTCAGCTCTGAGTCTCCTGGGAGCTGAGGCAAAAGTGGAAATATAGTGGGAACAGGTGACTGCAAATAACAGACCAGGCCTGTTTGGAATTGTCACCTGCAATGACCTAAATATTAAGTCTGCTTTTACGTTCTTTTAAAATATTAAGTTTTGCCGGGCGCGGTGGCTCAAGCCTGTAATCCCAGCACTTTGGGAGGCCGAGGTGGGTGGATCACGAGGTCAAGAGATCGAGACCATCCTGGTCAACATGGTGAAACCCCGTCTCTACTAAAAATACAAAACATTAGCTGGGCATGGTGGCACGTGCCTGTAGTCCCAGCTACTCAGGAGGCTGAGGCAGGAGAATTGCCGGAACCCAGGAGGCGGAGGTTGCGGTGAGCCGAGATCGCGCCATTGCACTCCAGCCTGGGTAAGAAGAGCGAAACTCCGTCTCAAAATAAAATATTAAGTTTTTAAAAATAATAAAAAGCAGCCAGGCGCAGTGGCTCATGCCTGTAATCCCAACACTTTGGGAGGCCGAGGTGGGTGGGTCACAAGGTCAGGAGTTCAAGACCAGCCAGGCTAACATGGTGAAACCCCATCTCTACTAAAAATACAAAAATCAGCCGGGCGTTGTGGTGCATTGCCTGTAATCCCAGCTACTCAGGAGGATGAGGCAGGATAATCGCTTGAACCCAGGAGGCAGAGGTTGCGGTGAGCCAAGACTGTACCACTGCGTTCCAGCCTGGGCGACAGAGCAAGGCTCCAACTAAAAAAAAAAAACAAAATTATAAAGCCATAAAGAAAACCAAAACGGGCTCATAATCTCACCACTCATATAAGCCCTTATTCACACTCCTTATTCATTTATTCACACAATCACATGTATGTACTTGCTTTTTAAAATTTACACAAGGCCAGGTGCAATGGCTCACACTAGTAATCCCAGCACTTGAGGAGGCCGAGGCAGGAAAATTGCTTGAGCTCAAGAGTTCGACACCAGCCTGGGCAACATAGAGAGACCTCATCTCTACAAAAAAGTACAAAAATTAACCAGGCATGATAGCACACACCTATAGTTCCAGCTACTTGGGACGATGAGATGGGAGGTTCCTTTCAGCCCTGGAGATCGAGGCTGCCGTGAGCCAAGATCACACCACTGCACTCCAGCCTGGGGGACAGAGACCCTGTCTCTAAAAAAAATAATTAAAAAATAAAATGGGCCGGGTGCGGTGGCTCAAGCCTGTAATCCCAGCACTTTGGGAGGCCGAGGCGGTTGGATCACAAGGTCAAGAGATCGAGACCATCCTGGTCAACATGGTGAAACCCCGTCTCTACTAAAAATACAAAAAATCAACTGGGCATGGTGGCGCGTGCCTGTAATCCCAGCTACTCAGGAGGCTGAGGCAGGAGAATTGCCTGAACCCAGGAGGCGGAGGTTGCGGTGAGCCGAGATCGCGCCATTGCACACCAGCCTGGGTAACAAGAGCAAAACTCCGTCTCAAAAAAAATAAAAATAAAAAATAAATAAAATGTCCACAAAAAGGGATGGTACATCCTCTGTTCTTGAACTCTCATTTTCACTTACTAACTCCCTGGATATCTTTATGCCGACACACAGCCTGTTTACATTTTCACCTGGCATCACTTTTTAAGGTAACGATGTCCATAAACCCACTCCCCGTGGTGGAAAGGAAGGCTTGCTCTTGTTGCTTGGTTTTGCCATTAGCCATTTCCTATACAGCCCCAGGATCTCTCCGTGTCGGTGCTTGAGCTAAGGTCTAAGAGCAGCCTGTGTTCACTGTGTCCATGATAAACAGCTTCAGATCTCATTATCTGATCTGCCTTTGTCTTTCCATATTTGTTCACCTCTCTCGCCTACACCCAGGAAGTATCAGAGGAAGCTACCGATAAAACTGACTTCATGATATAATCCTATTCAAAGAAAAGCAAAAGCCTACCCTAAAGGTAAGAGAACTCCAAAAACAAAGTAATGATTTCAGCTCTGAGTTTCCTGGCAGCCAAGGCAAAAATGGAAATATAACACATCACAAGGAATTTGTTTTCTCCAAGAAGGAATTTATCAGTTTCAAAAAGAGATTATTCTGAAATTAATCCTGAGAGGCATCTATCACATGAACCCTTACACAGGTGACCAAAAAAAAGTGACAGAAAAGAGAGTTTTCGCAGAGCGATGTTACAGAAGATGGGCTGTCGTTTCTTGGATGGATCCTCAAGCTGAGAGTCTAATCCTTTTGGCCTCTCCTCCCAAGGCAGGAGCCAAGGTGGGGCACAGGGGCAGCAGGTGTGCAGGAGAGACTGAGCCGCCCCGGGGGGATGCCCCACACTGCTGCAGGAAGGAGCTATTCCAGGCACAATGGCTCTGACGGTGACATGCAAACACGCGAGGCAGGAAGGATCCCTGGCAAATCCTACCACTTGCCGCTTTCTGATTCTCCACACGTGGTCTATACTAACCCAGATTACCTTTTGAGAGACTGCAGCAAGCAAGTGCTGAGTATAAATAACTCTGGAACAGAAGGCTTGCTAAATGATGAATTATATAGCAGCAATAACTCGAGACTGCTTATGAGATAAGATTAGAGAGAGGCAGGAATCAGAGCTTTAAATAAAAGACTTCCCTGCTCTGGGGCAAGGCATCACTCAAAAGACGACACTCAAGGGTGTCAGTCTATGTGAGAGTGACGTCTCGGGTTGTAAATCCTTCTACCGCAAAAGCGCTCTTCCTCCAGCGTCTCTGTGAAGACTGGATGATGGTGAGAGACACAAAGGAAGAGAACCAAGCCAGATGCCGCTTCCACATGCCACTCCTCTTGAACAGGCAGGCATCACCCTGTTTCAGCGAGTGGTCCCTGCACCCTCCACCCTCCCACATGCAAACCAGAGGCTCATGCCAGCTCCCAGCAGCTGGGACCAGGGCCAAGAAGCTCTGGGCAAAGGTGGCTGAGATTCAACTAAACCCAGATTACAGTTGCACACGACAGCTTCGAGCTGAAAACAACAAGATATCGATCAAAACTGATCATCGCCCCACTGGCAGAATAAGCTATAAGCAGCTTCTCCAAGCCCTGGTGGGGGAAGAAAGAGGGGAGGGGCGGGATGGGAGGGAGGGAGGAGGATACAGAATGAGACACAGAAGGCCCAGCCGAGGCAAAGGCTGGGCAGCTCCGCCTGCATCTCTGCAACCGACCTGGGAACTTGGAGAAGTACGCCTTCCTGTACTTGCTGCCGTTCTCATCGTTCCAGAAGTGTGTGGGCTGGCAAGGGATCGGCTTAGTACACACCAGCTCGCCGCTCTCTCCCCAGACCGCCTTCCCTGGGATGAGCAGAATTAAAAATAAGCCCAACACACACCACAGCCACACACCCTGGCTGCCTCTCCCTTTCTTAAGCTATGACTTATTATGCAATATTCCAGACACACACAAAGGTACAGAGATGGTCATGCCCACACACCTGTCATGGCAGCCTAATAATGTGTTCCTCCCAGCCGAAGTCCCCTCCCTGTGTGCTCCCCAAAATCACCGTCCTGGAGGTGGTGACTTGTTATTCCCGTGTGTGAACATTTCTGCTCCATCTGCACGCATCCCTGAATAGCACAGGTCACTCGGCATGCCTCTGAACTACACAGTCATTCTGTGTCCCGTGTCTTCCTTTGCCCACTCAGCATGACATCTGGGTGGCTCGTATGGGCTACTACGTGTCAGTCCGGTTCATTCTATTTAGCAACTGATCATTCTCCGTATGTGATCACAGTTTCTTCCTCCCAAGAATGGACATTTCCATTGCTCCCAATTTTGTTTTCGATTACAAGTCACGGGGCTACAAACATTCTTGCATGTATCACAAGTCAGTCTTCCGGGAGTGGAATTCCTAGATCACAGGGCACGTATGCACCTTCAGCTTCGCTGACTACTCCTGCGTTGCTCTGCAGAGCAGCTGCGCGGAGCCCTGCTCACCCCTCCTAGCACAGCTGGATTTCTAGCTGCCAGGCACAGCACAGCAAGAGACTATCCCTTCAATGCCCAGGCTCTCAGAAGCTCAGAGCTGGCCACTGCCTGTATATCCAGCACCAGGATTCAGACTCAGGACAACGACCACCCACCTGCCTACCGTTCCTGAGCACAGAGCCCCCCCACCATCTGGCCTCCAACTTGACCCTGACTTCTCAGGGGCTGCGGATCAGGAGCCTGGTGGGTGTTAAACCAAGCTGGGGGAAAGGATGTCACACTCCAAGTGACAGGGGCCTCCCCTCCAAGGGCTGTTTTGGAGAATTATCACCAAGCCAAGTTACACATCTGAGCGCTCCCAAGCTCCCAACTCACGCCTAATCACAGAAAGAAACAGTTGGTGAAGCCATCACCTTCCTCGTTCCACGCCTCCACGGCCATGCCCAGGTTCCGGGCCTGAATCTCCCCTTTATACACAGGAATAGAAACATTCTGGCCCATGAAGCAGGAGATGATGTCGGTGCCTCCTGCAAGCAATGGCAAAGGGAGATTCAAAACTCAGAAGCCCAAGACAAGTTGCTTTCAAATTAGTGAGCAACAAAGGAGAAAGTGCCCAGAGGACAAGTACCTACTACTCTCCAAGAAAAACACCGCCAACCCCAGGCAGGTGGGGCTTCTTTTCAGGTGATATGGAGGCTGGAACGAACCCCCAACATCTGGTGATTTATGTTTTGGCCGAGCCTTCCTGCTAAAGGATGTGCTAAGTAAATGACCTCCTGTGGCCACGCTGAAATTCAAGACTCAGGATCGCAGAAGATGGAAGTTTTGCCTGTGCTATGTACCCAGCAGATCGCTGCTAGGCGGACCCATCACATGCGAAGGCTCACATGCCACAGTTTACGTGGACTTCATGGTTGGAAAAACCGAAACGTTCCCAGCTGCAAGGACCATGGAGTGTGATATCTCACGAGAGACTGTGCTACATGGAAAATACTCCTCTTTCTGGAATGAGCTGGAAATGGAGTCAGGCTCCATGGGCCACCATGCAGGGGAGGAGTATGAATCCCCCAGCCCAGGCCCCTGCTGACAACAGCCACTCTCTGACCCAAAAGCCTGTGTGGGAAGAGAAACGGAAGCAGGGTAAACCTGCAAGAGAGCACAGACTCTCACACTACACAAACACACACACACACACACACACACACACACATCCATGCACACACCACACATACACATACCACACGCATGCACACACCACACTTACATGCATACACACTTACATGCAGACACATGTATGCACACACCACACATACACACATACACATGCACACATCACACATACACACATACGCACACACCATACATACATGCACATACCACACATACACATACCACACGCAGGCACGCACCACTTACATGCATATACACACACACTTACATGCACAGACACATGCGCACACACACCACACATATACACACGCACACACCACACATACACATACCACACACATGCACACACCACACTTACATGCATACACACTTACATGCACACACACATGCGTACACACACCACACATACACACACACACGCACACACATGCACACACCACACATACATGCATACACACACGCACACAAGCGCGCACACATACATACACACACACACGAGCACAGCAAGGGCAGAACACACAGAGGACAGGATCATTCCACTCCCGCAGGTGAGAAAGCAGAGACAGTGGAGAGTGGGCGACAAGGAGCGCCCCTCCCTAACCCCTGGGCCTGTGTCTGAATTCTTTTTTTTTTGAAACAGGGTCTCACTCTGTTACCCAAGCTGGAGTGCAGTGGTGTGACCTCAGCTCACTGCAGGCTTGACCTCCTGGGCTCAAGAGATCCTCCCACCTCAGCCTCCCAAGTAGCTGAGATTACAGGAATACACCATGCCCAGCAATTTCTTTTTTTGTTTTTTTAGGGTTTTTTTCTGAGACGGAGTCTCACTCTGTTGCCCAGGCTGTAGTGCGGTGATGCAATATTGGTTCACAGCAACCTCTACCTCCCCATTTCAAGCAATTCCTGCCTCAGCCTCCCAAGTAACTGGGATTACAGGCATATGCTACCACGCCCAGATAATTTTTTTTTTGGTAGAAATGTGGTTTCACCATGTTGGCCTGGCCGATCTTGAACTCCTGACCTCAAGTGATCTGCCTGCCTCAGCCTCCCAACGTGCTGGGATTATAGGTGTCAGCCACCATGCCCAGCCACAGCTAATTTTTTAATTTTTTGTAGAAACAGGGTTTCATTATGTTGCTTAGGCTAGTCTCAAATTAATCTCCAACTCCTGGGTTCAAGCAACTCTCCCATCTTGGCCTCCCAAGTGCTGGGATTACAGTCATGAGACACTGTGCTGGCCCATGCCACTCTTTATACTCACTCATACTACCCGAAAAAAATATTTTCATGAAGCAAAGGTTTTCCCTAATCAGGCTCCTCATGTATGAATTGGGAATGTAGGGTGTTCAAGAGCCACATGAAATGACTCAGATGGCTCCAAAACCCAGAAGCGTTGACTTGACTCAACTCTAAGATGATTTTATTTCTTCTTTCAGGCAGAGAATAAAATGTGATGTCTTCTCTGCCATTTCATGTCACTGACTGACATGTCCCATGAAAACTGGGTGAGTCACGTTCGTTTCTGCCAGCATCAAGGTCTGAGCAAGGCTCCTATCCTCCTTCCCACTGCTCACACTGCTGGTGGGAATGGCTCAGACCCCTCACCTCAGGCTGAGGAACCAACTGTGGGGAGAAAGGGTGGGGGTCAGCCTCAGGCTTCGGGCAAATGCCATCTCTTAAAGAGGTACTTTGAGAGTACGTTTTTAAATCACAAGCAGAAAAATCAGAACTACATATGTGTAAAAAGGAAATAAAAGTGACCCAGACCAAGCACAGTGGCTCATGCCTATAATCTCAGCACTCTGGGAGGCCAAGGTGGAAGAATCACTGAACTCAGGAATTCAAGAACAGCCTGGGCAACATGGTGAAACCCCATCTCTACGAAAAATTTAAAAACAGAGCGGAGCGTGGTGGCGAGCATCTGTGGTCCTCGCTACTCAGGAGGCCGAGCTCAGAGGCCGAGGCTGCAGTGAGCTGTGATCGTGCCACTGTGTACGCCAGCCTGGGCAATGGAACAAACCCTATCTGAAAAAAAAAGGGACCCAAATGGGCAGCAATGAAATCAACTCTAAGTCACATTAAGCGTTAACTAAGGTATATACCCTAAACTACATCTGTGTAAAAAGGGGGTGCTCTCGCCCCATTTACACACACTCACAAACACACTCAAGCACACACGCTCACCTACGCACAGCACATCTCTGAAGGAAACAGTATCAGCTTCCTTGGGGAAGGGGGACGCCAGCAATGAGGATACTTTTGTGGACTGAATTTTTTACCACATGCGTGAACCATTTTCCAAAGCACAACTTTATGTTAAGAAAAAAGTTATGAGAAAAAATGCACTTGGGGGCCAGGCGTGGTGGCTCACACCTGTAATCCCAGCACTTCAGGAGGCAAATCAAGGTGGGTGGATCACCCGAGGTCAGGAGTTCGCGATCAGCCTGGCCTACTCGGCAAAACCCCATCTGTACTAAAAATACAGAAAAAGTAGCTGGGCATGGTGGTACATGCCTGTAATCCCAGCTACTTGGGAGACTGAGGCACAAGAATTGCTTTAAACCCAGGAGGCGCAGGTTGCAGTGAGCTGATACTGCACCCACTGCACTCCAGCCTGGGCGACAGAGCAAGACTCCGTCTCAAAAAAAAAAAATTTCACTTGGAATCCACATATAATACACCCATGGATATACATACATGAGTGTATGTGTACACATTCATACATACCTGTTTTCAACCTACAAAAATGACCGTACCCTATAATTCTGCAATCTGAGTTTTTCACTCACCATGACACGTTTCAATGTCCATCAGTATATTTCTATCTAAACAAATACTTTCATCCTTGCACTTCTAATGGCTGCATCAATAAAAAATGTACCCTACGTTATTCAATGAATTTCCTTTTGCTGGACAGAGAGATAGTGTCTATGTCTTACTTATATAAACAATGTTGCCATATTTCTCCTTCATTTAGTGGATTCTCACTGTTTGTGGATTCTATTTTTGCAAATTTGTCCACTCACTAAAATGCATGTGTAACCTACAGATCTGTACCCTGGAGCTTTTATGTCTCTCTCAGACACTGCAGAACAGTTACAACCCTAAGTCGCCTATGGATGTTTCCACTGAGGTCACATAAGGCCACACAGCCTCCCTACCTTGCTCTCAAACACAGGAGACTGGGGCAGGGCGGCATGGGGTGGGACACTCTGATCCCGGGCTTTACAACCCAGCCCTGGCACAGAACAGTGCAACGGCCTTGGGCAAGTCGCTGAATGCTTCTGAACTACATTTTCTCTTTCACAAGATTAAAAAAAAAAAAAAAAACAGAACCTATCAAGATGTATTGCTTTGGGTTTTAAGACTATAATTGGGAGGGGCGTGGTTGCTCACATCTGTAATCCCAGCACTTTGGGAGACCGAAGGCGGGCAGATTATGAGGTCAGGAATCTGAGACCGGCCTGGCCAACATGGTGAAACCCTGTCCCTACTAAAATTACAAAAATTAGTCGGGCATGGTGGCAGGTGCCTGTAATCCCAGCTACTTGGGAGGCTGAAGCAGAAGAATCACTTAAGCCCGGGAGGCAGAGGTTGCAGTGAACCGAGATCGTACCCCTTCATTCCAGGCTGGGTGACAGACTCCATCTCAGAAAACAAACAAAAAAAAAGACTACAATTGATGTGAGAGGTGTGTGTGTGTGTGTGTGTACACATGTATTTCCCCCAGGAACAAGGGTTCTGTACGTGCTAACTCAGTGTTCACAGGGACTTTGTGGAACATCACTGCCTCCAATAACAAGAAGGGACTGTGCGCACTGGCTGCACGGTGGACCATGTCCCTGGGGTGAATGCGATCACTGGCCGAGGGTGTCACACTTGTGGGGCCGGTGTGCCTTCCGGAGGCGGGGATGGCTGGGAGGACTGTCCCCACAGAGCCATACCTGAGATGGAGCCCAGGAGGACGCTGCTCTTGATGCACCTGTAGACGTACTCGTAGCTCTGGGCTTTCAGCGGGGAGCCGGTGGACAGGATCGTGTGGAGCATCTGGAGACTGTGGGTTTCCGCTAGGGCGAAGAACCACCAAAAGATGAAAACCAAACCCAGCGCCTGAAGCCTCACTCACAAGCAAGAAATAGGACGGATCTAATTTCCTTGATTGGCAGTACAAGGAATGAGTATTAAAGGGTCACACTCACCCGGCTTCATGGCCTTCTCTTCCAGCACCGACAGCCACTTGGCCCCAGTTACCAGGATAGTGATGCTAGGGCCCAGGTGGGAAAGAAAACACCAGAAACTCTTCAAGGCTCTTGCACCAACGCTTTCTAAAGTTAGTGATTTATTTCTGAGACGTTTGCAAAACCCAAGAGGGGCATTTTTCTGGGTTGAACTCATACTCTGTGTTTACTCCAGTCTGAGTCACGGCACCTGCCTTGCTCCGAGGCACAACTGGCCGAGCTCTACGCCGACTCCAGCGCCCAGAGCCAGCTCCCTTTACCATGAGGCCTCGCATGAAACAGCTGTTCACACGAACACGTCATCTCCCCAACTGCAGAGTATTTTATCTTGAGGGACCAGAGGCGGCCACAAAATCACGACCCCTACCCCTCAAATTCTATCCTCACATAGTCATTCACCAATGAAGAGAGGGCTAGCAGAATTTTTTTTTTTTCTGAGACAAGGTCTCCCTCTATTGCCCCAGGCTGGAGTGCAGGGGTACAAGCACAGCTCACTGCAGTCCCCTACTCCTGAGCTCAAGTTCTTCTCCCACCTCAGCCTCCCAAGTCGCTAGAGCTACTGGTGTATGCCACCACACGCAGCTAAGAGACAGGGTCTTGCTATGTTGCCAGGCTAGTCTCGAACTCCTGAGCTCAAGTGAATCCTCCTGCTTTGGCCTCCCAAAGTGCTGGGAGAATTCTTTATTTGTTAAAACGAGTGCCATACTTAAAGCTCTCCACCCATCCCCTTTTCTTATACACGTTTACATTTTTATGAAACTTAGAAAAGTGCAGCTCTTCCTAACATTTAGAATCCACAGTTCTACGCATGTGTGCTCAGAGAAGGACACACGCTGCTGAATAGACATCGCTGTGTTTTCAAGGGCAGCACTGTCTAATACGTGATTTCCTTCCTCGGCTTTTCTTCCAGCCAGGCAGCCTTCACAAGTAAACTCCATCTTCCCAACTACAGAACATTTTCTCTTCAGGGCCCAGAAGAGGCTGTGAGGTTAAGACTCTTCTGTGTCACTCTGGGCAGGAGAACCTCAGTCCCTCTGCACAGTCGGTGGAGAGACTCATCCGGAGGGGAAGACTGCCATGCACTCTCTGTCGGAAGCTATGAGGCAAAGGTGCACAGAACATGCTGAAATTCAGGGCTGGCTGGGCTGGGCGTGGCCAAGGCAACGGCAGGAGTGGATCTCCCTCTAGGCAAGGAGGTGGGTTACCATGGTCCCGTCCTTCCACCTCCCACACCTTCATTATCTTACTTCCTCAAAGCCACCACTGGACCCTGGAGACGGCTGGAGTTTGAGCGGGAGGGAGACTAGCTCCTCCCACCATCCCCCATGCTTCTTTCATAAACTCAGAGTTTAATTAACTACTTCGACATCATAGCCAAGGATTAAGCTATCACTCCCTTTGCAAGTATCAACAACGGAGGATGGAGATCTCATGACTCTAACGGTGATCACCCGGCCCTGGGCAGGAGTAACCACCTAGAGCTATGGGTACAGAGCTCTCTAACCAACAGCCACACCCAAACGCCACAGGGGTTTTACACAGCTTATCCCCCCCACTGCCCACCGCCAGAACACTCAGACTCTGTGGTTCTCAATCACGTCTACGTGCAGGCAAGATTCTGCAAACCCTGATCGTGGTGAGGCTCTGCTGCACTCGGAGGTGGTGCTCTCCAGCCTGTCAGTCACAGCCCTGCTTGCCTGAAGAAACGGCAAAGTCCTCCATCTATCTCCAGGGTGCGCGTTAAGACGCGTGAGAAATGCAACACCATTCAGCCCCTGGAAGCATGGAAGCCCACTTGCGGGCACTCAGCCCACGTCTTATTTCTAGCGAGTACTCTAGGAGTCACTGCACTGAGGCATGAGACAGTGTCAGAGCTCTAAACCGCTGGGACCCAGTGCCCACTACTGCCCAGAGCCCTGCCGAGCCGGGTGTGGATCAGCCCAGAGGCAGCCCCTCCAGGGTCGCCAGCGGCGTGTGGACTCCAGTAACCTGAGTCTCCCAGCTTCTCCCTCTGCCTCTGTCCCTACCCCGAAATGCTCTCTCTACTCAGACACTACACCACCCTTTTTTTTTCTGAGACGGAATCTTTCTGTGTTTCACCCAGGCTGGAGTGCAGTGGCATGACTGCAGCTCACTGCAACCTCCGCCTCCAGGGCTCAAGTGATCCTCCTGCCTCAGCCTCCCAAGTCGCTGGGATTACAGGCGTGCACCACCACACCAGGCTAATTTTTGTATTTTTAGTACAGATGGGGTTTCACCATGTTGGCCAGGCTGGCCTCAAACTCCTGACCTCAGGTGATCAACCCACCCCAGCCTCCCAAAGTGCTGGGATTACAGGCACGAGCCACCATGTCCAGGCTACACTGCCCTTTTAATAACGTGAACCTGATCACAGTGCTCTCCTGATTCAAAGTGTCCACTGCTATTCCATTCCACTTGGGGAAAAACTCACCTTCCAAGCAGCCCCAAAAGTCCCTGCCCCTCCGACCCCTGCTCCCGCCCTAGCCCCACATCAGCCCTTGACACTTGGGCCACAGGACGCCCCTTCCAGCTTCCACAACACATGGATCCCAGGCCACCTCCAGACCTTGGTCCTGGAGGTTCCCTCTGCCTGAAGCCCAGACCCCAGTCCTGCAAGAGTAGTTCCTGAACCTTCCGGCCTCAGCCCAAATGCCAAGACCTCTCGAGGACTCCCTGGCCCGAAGTCTCACAGCACTCCTCACTGCCCCAGGTCAGCCTCTCTTTTCCTTACCTTCCCCTGCCCAGTACCAGCCCCATGAGGACAAAGAGTGCTGGCCCCTGGTCACTGCTGTGTGGCCCCCAGAACCCAGCAGGGAGCGTAGCACAGTGCACATCGCCCAGCACACACGGTTGTAGACCCCGGCAAAGTGGTGCCCAACCCATGCACTTCCTTAGAGGGACAAGCCCGCTCACCCGCTCACCCCTGCCCTCTAGAGCCATCTGAGACAATGGCCCCATTCAGAGACGGGCAACACCAGGCAACCCACGCAACGTGCATGCCTGCCGTGCTACTAGCAAACCTGGACAAAGTCGTCAGGGTCCTGACCCTAATTCTATCCAGAATATTCCCCTCACTAGAGCGCAGAAACACACCCCTATGAAGAAAATTCATCTTTTAAAATTATCTTGTCTGTGCCTACAAAATGAATGTTCTTTCACCAGATGTGTCAGTAAGGCCGGGAGCTGACATGCTGGTAATCAATGGAGATCTCGCCCCATATTTACTAGCAGACGTGGGTTTTAATCAGAGGCACTGAGACAGCATCACAATGACTGTGCTGCCCCGCGCTCCTCTTGCCACAAAACAGGATTTGCCATGACTGCATTCAGCTGTTTCACGCCACTCAGTTTCTAGGAAGTGGACAGAAGTGAGCGGAAGCGTCCTGCCCCGCCCAGCACCCACTCCCTCTCACTGCTGACCACTGGCGACCACGGCAGTGGCTTGAAGCCTGCATCCTTCCGAGAGCCCCACCCGCAGCCCCTGCCCGCGTGCCAAGTCACACCTGCCTTGCCAAACTGCACAGGCGGCTCTCCCAGGCGGAGCAAAGGCCACATCCAGAGGGAGCCCCTCGACAGCATGACCACAGATCAGTCAGCCTCGGTGCTCTGGCCGACCCAGGGCCCATGATTACAGCATGGGACCAGCCACTGTGCTGCGAACACTCGTGCAGGCAGGCGTGCACACAGGCACAAGCATCCACGTGTACAGCACACACGCACAGCTGCATGCACACGAATACACACCCAACACCTACACAAGCAGAGACACCTGACACCCACGCACATTCACATGCTCGCCTGCACTCACATGGATGTGCACAAGCACTCACACACACACGCACTCACACACTCCCTTTCATATTATCACACTCCATGCATGCGCACACATACACTTTTACACTTGTGCACACACACAGACGCACACACCGCAGGGTCTCCCTGCGACCTTTCACCCTTGAATCTCATTAGCACCAGCCTCACTGATGTACCCCTCTCCCTCCCTCCTCCAGTAACCCCTACATCAATAAAAGCTCCCCCACCTGGAGCCTTGCTTAAGGGTAAAAGATTCTAAAGCCATCGCAAGTTCCCAGGGATTTGATTAACCTTTTGCTGGAAACAATCTCATTAGGAAATAACCTTCCTCACTTAGACTGTGAGCCAAATGTCAGGATTTCAATATTACCCAGGCCAGCCCAAGATATATTTAAAACATTAACGGCCAGAGATTTAAAAACATGAGCGGCTCCTGTTCCCGCCCATGAACAAGTTCAGACAGAGTAACTAGGACATTCCACAGCATGTTGGTTTCTGGGCCCCTGGAGCTCTGGCGACTTCTACACTCTTATTTCTGGAAACACTGTCATTAGGCCAAGGGTGACCAAGACCACAGTGGCCAGGGCGTGCCAGTCAGTTGTGATTAATTCATCACCAAAGTGCTGATGAGACTGGACCTTCTGATGCCTTCTAATGATGATGATGAAGGTGGGGGAAAGCTAGGACCACCGTATCTGTCCCCATTTGCATAATTCTTAGGCACCACGAGGGTACCCGATGTGTCTCCTAACTGGCTACGGCCTCTGCTCATGGGATTCCTATCTACCGTCCAGCCAGGGCCACAGGAAAGAAGTGACCACTTCCAGGGGCCCCAGGAAGCACTCAGTACAGTTACAATGAGGTGAGGAAGATCCTAGAAGACGGGTGGCCAAGAGCCCCAAGGGACGGCTAGGGACAAGCAGGGCTCTCCTCCTGCCAATAGGCTTAGGAGAAAGGTGCAGCCAATCCAAACACCATGCAGCCCCCCAGTCACAGGTTCTATGCCCTCATGAACTTATCCACACACCTCCCCTGTGCGTTCAGCCTTCACCTCACTTCAGCTCCCAGTGAAAGTGCAAAGGGTGAGTGGACGCTGCATTTCCAGACGCATTTTTATTGCCCACAGACCAGGAGATACCCAGGCAAAGGGGTCGCCAGTGCCGCTGTTCTAGCTGGTGTGGCTGTTTTGGCCCCCGCGGGGCTGAACTGGCCCGCGCGGCTGCTGTGACCACACCATGTCACAGCGGTTCTCCATACAAAAGCCACTGGTCTGGGAGCCCTCTTAGCAGGTGATTGGAGCCCTGAGACGGCAGAGTTGCCCATTCATCTGAAATAGCGAGCCAGGCCAGGAGATTCCTAGGCAAAAAATCCGCCAGGAGCCGGCGCTGCTGTTTGAGCCGACTCAGTGAGTTGCAGCACGGGAGATCCCGGCGCCTTTTCAACAAGCGACTGGAACGTCGTTCAACTTAAAAAATAAAAAAAAAAAAAGACTCTGAGATGGTTTGGTTGTCCCCACCCAAATCTCATCTTGAACTACAGCTCCCATAATCCCTATGTGTCATAGGAGGGACCCAGTGGGAGGTAACTGAATCACGGGGGCAGGTTTGTCTCATGCCGTTCTCTGGACAGTGAGTAAGTCTCATGAGATCTGACGGTTTTATAAAGGACCATTCTCCTGCACATGCTCTCTTGTCTGCCGCCATGTAAGACATGTCTTTGCTCCTCCTTCACCTTCTTCCATGACTGTGAAGCCTCCCCAGCCATGTGAAAACTTGAGTGCAATCTCTTTTTCTTTATAAATTACCCACTGTCAGGTATTTCTTCATAGCAGAATGAAAATGGACGAATACCATCTCACTCCTGAGTCTGAAAAACCCGTGTGAAACAGGACTCCAAGCGACCCTCAGTGTTCCTCCTTTTGCTGGGAAATGTCACAACTACAGAAATCAGATCAATGTGCAGCTCGGTGGCTGCAGCTGACAACACCCTACTGTGTAAGAGCCGGAACTCCGCTAAGAGAGTCGATCTGAGGCGCGCTCAGTGCTAAAAGCAAAAAGGGAACTGTGTGAGGAGATGCAAATGCTAATTTGCCTGAATGCAGTACTCATTTCCCTATGTGTACACACAGCAAAATACCATGTTGTGTGCCTTACGATATATACAATTTTTACTAAAAAAACACTCTTAAAATAGAAATAGGTTCTTAAAAGAAATGCGGTCCCATGCTGCCCATAGGATTTTCTCGGCCCTCTCTAGAGGGAGAAGCCCGGTCCGTGGTGTCCCTCCCTCCTTAGCAGTTTCACCTTCTGCTTCCGGCACCTCCCACGCCCTCCTCTTGGAGAGGGGGTGTCCATAAAGGCACAGCATTCAGGAGACACCCTGACCACAACAGAAGGCAGCCACGGCTCTGCATCTGATCCCAAGGAGCCTTCCTGGTGCCACCTGTCCCTTGTTCTAAGCACAGCACCTTGGTACCTACCCGATCCTGTCAACCAGATCCCAGAGCACGTTGGGCGTGGGTACCAGCGGGGAGCCATCGTACAAGACCATGGCCGCTCCTGTGGCCAGAAGGGACACCATCCAGTTCCACATCATCCAGCCTACCTGCAAAGACAGGAGGGGCACAGCTTCAGTGGGCACTAGGCAGCTCCATCCAGTGCTGCCCCTCAGCTTCCCGTGTCCCTGGAAAACCACCTAAAATGGAGCCATGGGTTGGTGCTAACTGTCCATTTCAAACACATGACACTTTGGCCCAGAAACTCCACGTCTAAGATGCGTCACACAGACATATTCATACATGTGCATGAAGACGTGTCACAGAATATCTGTTGCACCCTTGCTGATGACAGAGACAAAGCAATGTAGGTGTTATCGACACAAGAAAGGCCACAGGAGGTGCACGCGTGCTACTGACACTCGACACAGTTAGGGAACCCACGCAAGGCATTCGGAACAGGTCTGGCCCTAGCAGGATGAGGGGAGCCATTAAGCAGCCATGAAACAGAATGAGGCCTGGACTGACACAAAACCGTCTCCAAGACATCATTCATACAAAACAAGCAAGGCGGAGCGTGTGCAGCATAACCCTGTTAGTCTAGAGGAAAGGACAGATATGTAAGCACACATGCAGATACACATACATATGCATGCATGCACGGGCGCATACACACGCACACACACACACCGCCAACGGGCACCGATCCACGCTGAGGCAATGAAAATGCCTGGCACGGCTGCCTCTGGGCCCTGGGAAGCATCAGCCTTTCCCCACGTATCCAACTGGGGCTGCCTGAAATTTTTACCATATCCAGGTAGATTTAATTTGTTTTAATTTTAACTGAAAACTGTTACCAAGTTTCAAAACATTAAGGCAAGAAGGTGCAGATACACTCACAGCACCCTCATCTACGCAGGGAGAATGTGGGTGGTCTTGGAGTGAACAAACATCATGACAGAGCGCGGGGTAAGCTCCAGCAGGAATCTTGGTCCTGGAGGCCAACAGGGAGCTCCCCAACTCCACCAACCACGGAGGCAAGGAGGGCGCGGGGGACGCACACAGCCTGGGAGGACTGGAGTGGATGCGCTGGGCGTCCTGGGCCTCACCCCACATCCCCAAGGGCAGACTCTCGGGGATCAGAGGGTGGGGATGCGGTGGCTATGTGACAAGCCCAGGTGGTTCTCCTTCAGCCCTGGGTCAGATCCCTGGACATGAGTTCGCAGAGCTGACGGTGAAACAGAGCACTGGGCCAGCAGGTCGCCTACGGCATGAGTGACGTGGTTTAGCCTGTGTCGGGAACTTACCTCCCACCAGCTACAGCCTAGGGCGGTCCCCAATTCACGTGGGCTACAGTGACCCAAAACCAACATCCCCCAGAAGGTCCACCCGCGCCTACTCCCCACTCAAAAAGGCCGGGGGCACAGGACGCAGGCAGAGGGCTCCATGTAGCTGAGCTGCTTTCGTCTTTTTTTTCTTCCTGAAATAGGGTCTCACTGTCACCCAGGCTGGAGTGCAGTGGCACAATCACAGCTCACTGAAGCCTCAACCTCCTAACCTCAAGTGATCCTCCTGCCTCAGCCTCCCATGTAGCTGGGACCACAGGTGTGGGCCACCACATCCAGCTAATTTTTTTATTTTTGTAGATGAGCTCTCACTTTGCTGTCCAGGCTAGTCTTGAACCCCTGGCCTCAAGGGATCCCCCTGCCTCAGTCTCGCAAAGTACTGGGATTACAGTACAGGCATGAGCTACCAAGCCTGGCCACTGAGTTGCTTTCTGAACAGGTCTTAATGTACTTGTTCAATTTCTCTCATTAAGGAACTACTCCTCAAAGAGGAAACCAGTACCCGAAAGCCCCAAGCAGCACAGCGTTCCTGGCTACCTCATTGTCCAACAAAGCTGCTAAAAAGTTGAGTCAAGGCCTGGTGGCTCACACCTGTAATCCCAGCATTTTGGGGAGGCCAAGGTGGGAAGATCACTTGAGCTCAGGAGGTTGAGAACAGCCTGGGGAACATAGTGAGACCTCATGTCTATAGAAAAACAGTTTTGTTTTGTTTTTTGAGACAGAGTCTCGCTCTGTTGCCCACGCTGGAGTGCAGTGGCACAATCTCAGCTCACTGCAACCTCTGCCTCCCGGGTTCAAGCAATCCTCCCTCCCACGCCCTGGGATTACAGGTGCCCACCACCACACCCAGCTAACTTTGTATTTTTAGTAGAGACAGGGTTTCACCACGTTGGCTGGTCTTAAACTCCTGACCTTAAGTGATCCACCTGCCTTGTCCTCCCACAGTGTTGGGATTACAGGCATGAGCCACTGTGTCTGGACTCTAGAAAAAATTTTTTTTAATTAGCCAAGGTGTGGTGTACCTGTGGTCTCAGCTACTTGGCGGCTAAGGCAGGAGGATTACTCCAACCTAGGAGGTTGAGGCTAGAGTAAGCCATGATCACTGCTGCACTCCAGCGTGAGCAACAGAGTAAGACTCTGTTCAAAGAAAAGAAGAGGCCGGGCGCGGTGGCTCAAGCCTGTAATCCCAGCACTTTGGGAGGCCGAGGCGGGTAGATCACGAGGTCAAGAGATCGAGACCATCCTGGTCAACCCCATCTCTACTAAAAATACAAAACATTAGCTGGGCATGGTGGCGCATGCCTGTAATCCCAGCTACTCAGGAGGCTGAGGCAGGAGAATTGCCTGAACCCAGGAGGCGGAGGTTGCAGTGAGCCGAGATTGCGCCATTGCACTCCAGCCTGGGTAACAAGAGCGAAACTCCGTCTCAAAAAAAAAAAGAAAAGAAAAGAAGAAAGGCAATGGGAAAATGGGAAAGGAAAAGTAGGAAGGGAAGTGATATCCCAGGGGTCTGTCCCCTCCTGCATCTGTGTGTGACCCCAGGGGTCTGTCCCCTCCTGCATCTGTGTGTGACCCCAGGGGTCTGTCCCCTCCTGCATCTGTATGCAGTCCTGGGGAGTCTGTCACTAGGGTCACAGAGGGACCCTGGACATTGACCTCACAGGTGAGGCATGTGCTGGCTGCTCTCCACTCAGCATAAAAACTCAGCACAGAAGCACCACCCAGGACCTATAGCTAGATCCTTCCGGAAGCTCTTGATGTTTTGAGTTCTCCTGCTCTGGGGTAGAACACACTTCCTTTAACTTGTCCTAACTGTTTGTCTTTCTGGGCTCAACAAGGGTGGGAAGCCCTCCAACCCCTTCAGTTCAAGTTCTGGCTTAATGGCATGGATTCCACGCTGCTGAGGCAGGCTGAGCGGGCCCATCTCCACATCACACCGGCGAAGCCCTCACCGCGGTGGAGCACAGACAGTGCCCCGGGAAAGCCCCTACTGTGTGTAGCACAGGCCGGGGACGAGGGAATCCCTTGCCACATGGAGCACACGCCAGCACCCAGGGAAGCCCTTACCACGGTGCAGCACAGGCCGGGGACCGGGGAAGCCCTTACCGCGTGCGGCACAGGCCGGGGACCGGGGAAGCCCTTACCGCGTGCGGCACAGGCCGGGGACCGGGAAGCCCTTACCGCGTGCAGCACAGGCCGGGGACCGGGGAAGCCCTTACCATGGTGTAGCACAGGCCGGGGACCGGGGAAGCCCTTACCGTGGTGTAGCACAGGAGGATGTCACTGCTGGTCATGTTGCTGTGCAGCAGGTGCTCCTTCAGATGCTGGATGAGGGTGCCCTGCAGGGTAGACACAGGGAAGCAGGCGCCCTCTGTTAGGCGTACAGTACTGTGTACCTGCTACCTGGCTCACACGCCGCTTAGATGCTGCCAGGAAGAAGTCCCAGCAGATCCCCATTTTCTTTCCTGGGAGAAGCAGACTTCGGAGGCTCCCTCCTCTCCCCTTTGATGAGCCATGCCCCCACGTCCCTCTGCTGCCCGAGAGTTACACGTGCTTTGTACCCTGACACTCCTGCCTGCCTGTGGGCTCTCAGTGCCCAAGGCATCAACGGCACCACGGAGGCCCACCAGCTTCAGGAAGAAGAGAAGTGACCCTTATTGAGAAGGCAGTTGAAGAGCAAAAGACCAGGACCTGACCCTTCCAGGACGGGCACTAGCCCAGCCTCACGGGGGACAGGGAAGGGAGGGGTGAGGATGTGTTACAGGGGGCCCTGCCGGCAACAGAGCAAGACTGTCGCTGGGACTCACATTCAAGATTGGAGCTCAAGGGAAGCAGCATGAGACCCTCCTTCTGGCTAAAACACCCAAGCAGACCCACTCCCTCCCACCCACTATGCACTATTAATTTTCTTGTTTGTTTGTTTGTTTGAGACAGAGTCTCCTCGTCACCCAGGCTGAAATGCAATGGCGCGATCTCGGCTCACTGCAACCTCCACCTCCTGGGTTCAAGCAACTCTCCTGCCTCAGCCTCCTGAGTAGTTGGGATTACAGATGTCTGCCACCACACCCAGCTAATTTTTGTATTTTTAGTAGAGATGGGGTTTGACCATGTTGGTCAGGCTGGTCTTGAACTGCTGACCTTGGGTGATCCACCCGCCTTGGTATCCCAAAGTGCTGGGATTGTGTGAGCTACCAAACCCAGCCACACTATTAATTTTTAATTTTGTTGTTTAACAGGCAATATAATTGCATGGTCCAGAACTCTGAAGAAGATACTATGAAAAGCCTTCCTCTCTCCCTGTCCTATACCCAGTTCTCCCCAGAGGCAGCCAGGCCTAGCAGTTTCCTGTGAATATCTTTCTTGCCAATGCCAGCACATATTTATTAATGCCATTTTGTTCATTTTGACACAGTGTCCTGCCCTTTGCCTTTTCCCCCGACAGCATACCTGTGAGACCTTCCCTGGCATCCCGAAAAGATGACCACCACCTGTCTCACCAACAGCAGCAACTGCAGCCTCCAGAGACTGCCAGGCAGATGGGCAGACACTGGCTGATACAGTTGGGCTCCATGTCCCCATCCAAATCTCATCCTGAATTGTACTCCCATAATTCCCACACGTGGCGGGAGGGACCTGGTGGGAGGTAGCTGAATTGTGGGGGCTGTTTCTCACATACTGTTCTCAGGGCAGTGAATAAGTCTCATGAGATCTGATGGTTTGAAAAGAGGAAACCTATTTCGCTTGGCTCTCATTCTCTCTTTGCCGCTGCCACCCATGTAAGACATGACTTGCTCCTCCTTGCCTTCTGCCAAGATTGTGAGGCTTCCCCAACCGTGTGGAACTGTTAAGTCCATTCAAACTATCTTTTGTAAATTGCCCAGTCTCAGTACATCTTTATCAGCAGTGGAAAACAGACTAATACACTGCACTTGTGTGCTGGGAGGGACAGGCCCTTTTCTACAGTCCTCTGAGGCCGCCTCCGGGCTCTGGAAGCTGAGTTGCAGGCTGGGGTTTAACAAGAATCCCCAGTGAGGGTCCAGGCCAGCTTTCCCTTCTCTTCCCCAGGCACTCATAAGCTTCTTAGAAAGTTCCAGGACACTCTGTTCTCACCCGCGGCAGCAGGCAATAATTTGGGGGTGACAAACTTTTCAGGAACTGTCTCCATGAACTACATCTTTCCACAAATCCATTCAAAGGACAGGGAGCTCTGATTCTAGGAGCCTGTGGCAAATCTCCCTCCCATTTTCTTCTTCACATAAAATCAGCACTTAACTCTGCAGCTTTGCCCACGTGGTCTGCGGTGAGCACAGCAGAGCTGGGAGCCCACATTCGCTCAGTGGTTTGTTCAGTGGTTCACCAGCCTCATTCTCTCAGATGGCACCAAACCAAAGAGGAGCCCTCCTCTCTCAAGAACTTGTCTGTGTGAATCTTAACAATTCACATCCATCGTTTTCCCCTTAATTCTTAAATATTTATGGTCAAGTCTGAATGCTTTCCCTGAGGGTGAGGCAGCGTCAACAGCATGGTTTCCTGGATCTCAGCACAGGAGAGTAATTTCATGTCAAGGAAGAGAAAGGGGAGCTCCTTTCTGACACCTTTCATGGACTTAGAAAACACAAACCCACAAACCAGTGCCACAACACCCACCGCTAAATCGGAAGGACTATGAGCAGCCCGAGGGCTCCAGCCTGTGTGGCCTCGCTGTTTTCAACTTTGCGGTCAAGGTAACTTTAGAAAATGAATAAGATGCTTAGTCACTTCTCTGGAGATGCAAGAGCCCAGTGAAGCTAGAGCACATAAAATTTTTCCTGATTTTTCCACACTCTAAATATACCAGGCACGATCATTTTATGAGCAAGCTATATTATATCTAATACATTTTTATGCTCCTCTTTAAAAAAAAAAAAAATGACATGCACTATGCAAAGAGCACTAAAAATAAAGGTACAGTTATTCATTTCCATTCTTCCTAAAATGTTTTGTTTGGCCACATACACCCGCCCCACCCCCACCCTTGCTGCGAAATTTCTAAAAATGCTCACCTCGTTGGCTCATCAACAGACCTGCTCCCAGATGCACAAGGGCTGCCCTTTCACAGGGAAAATGTGATTCCAACTATGCCTTAGACTATGAACACACTCCCGACTGGCCTTCATAAAATCAGATGATTTGAACGACAAGACAGCTCACTGCCAGCAAAGATGCAACTCGGTTCAGCCAGAGTAACTGCCAGAAATAAGGTCTTTGCCCCCCACCACCGACACTGCCCCTCACTCCCATCCCCGGGTTTCTCGAGAATTAACCAGCAATGGATGGACAGGCTCCTGAACCTCTGGATCTGTTATTTCACAGCCTGCAACAAGACCGTCGGTGAATCCGGATCCAGGTGATGAGGAAGCCACGTTAACTCCTTTCTATATTCTGATGAAAACACTCCGTTAAAAAGCCTCATAAGGCTTTCAGATGATTCCAGCATAAATGTTTCCTTTTCATGGAAGGGATTCAAACTGCTTCTAGGTAGAGAGAACATCTGTAAAAGCTAAATGAGCTAGAATGAGGGAACTTGCATATTTCCTTTCCAAATGCCACTGTCTTATAAAGCAAAGGTTTTTCCATTTGGAGAATTCTCTTCTGAGTTTGGGGGGAAAAGTGGTGATCGGAAGGTCTGACCAAGATTCCATGAATTTTTCTCATCCCTATGGGCTGAGCCGACTGAGAGAGAAATAGGGAAATGAGCTCTGGGGAGAGCTGAAGAGCTGGCCCAGGGAAGGGCCTAGAGCAGCGTGAGGCCGAGAGCCACGTCGTGGAACAAGCCTCTGACTCCCACAGACCAGACCAGGAGAAGCCCCAGTGCGAGGTAAGGATTCAACCTGAGTCAGGAAGACGCTCTGTTATCCAGCCCAGGGGCAGAGGAGAATCAGAGAAAATAAAATGTGATAGCAGTTATTAGAAAAGCACCACATTCGGCCAGGTGCAGTGGCTCACACCTGTAATCCCAGCACTTTGGGAGGCAGAAGTGAGTGGATCACAAGGTCAGGAGTTCAAGACCAGCCTGGTCAGTATAGTGAAACGCCATCTCTACAAAAAATACAAAAAAAAAAAAAAAAACAATTAGCCACATGTGGTATGGGTGCCTGTAATCCCAGCTACTCAGGAGGTTGAAGCAGGAGAATCACTTGAACCCCAGAGGCAGAGGTTGCAGTAAGCTGACATTGCGCCATCGCACTCCAGCCCAGGCAACAGCTTGAGACTCTTCAAAAGAGAAAAAGAAAATCACCACATTCACCCAGGCATTTCATTTCTGAAGCGCAATCTAGTGAAATCATGAAAATGAAAAGGAAATACACCACCGACATTGTGTCCCCCCGATGGATGCACGAAGGAGGACACATCATTTCCAAGGTGTTCCTACCAAAGCCGCATAACTGGACCGAACCACGAGGAGACATCAAACAGGCCCAAAGAGAGCCATCTGCCAAACCAGGAGCCTGGGCCCTTCAAAAATGTCAGTGTCACGAAAGATGAAGAAAGCCTGAGGAACTGCTCCAGATCCAAGGACACAAAGGAGACCTGGTGACTGACGCACCGCCGCCTGAACTGCTAGGACGCTGCAGGGAAAGTGGCGACCTGCGAGTGTGGACCGCAGACCAGGGGAGGGCTCTGCACCAACAGCAACCTGCCTGAATTTGGTGAGCATGCTACACTCTCTAAGAGAATGTCCTTGTTCTTGGGAGATACCTGCTGAAATGTCAAAGAGTGAAAGATCATTATGGCTCCGGCGTACTGTCAACAGGTTCAGCAAAAAGCAAAACAGCAACATGTGAATATACACAGAGACAGAGAAAGAAGGCAAAGAGGCTTTTAGGACATGTTAAAAATGGATATTGACATCAGGCGCAGTGGCTCTTGCCTATAATTCCAGCACTCAGGAGGCCGAGGAGAGAGGATCGCTTGAGTCCAAGAGTTCATGACCAGCTGGAGCAACATAACAAGACCCCGTCTCTACAAAAACAAAAAAGTAGCACGTGCCTGTGGTCCTAGGTACTTGGACGACTGAGGTGGGAGGATCACTTGGGCCCAGGAGGTAGAGGTTGCAGTGAGCCATGATCACACCACTGCACTCCAGCCTGGGCAACAAAGTGAGAACCTGTCTTAAAAAAAAAAAAAGATGAGATTACCAGAATTAAAAAATTTAAAAATAAAAGAACGTTGAAAATGTTAAAAAGAGAATGTTAATAACGGAAGAATCCACCTGAAGGGTATCATGGGGCTTAGTATTCTTGCAACTTAGGCCGGGCGCAGTGGCTCAAGCCTGTAATCCCAGCACTTTGGGAGGCCGAGGCGGGTGGATCACGAGGTCAAGAGATCGAGACCATCCTGGTCAACATGGTGAAACCCCGTCTCTACTAAAAATACAAAAAACTAGCTGGGCGTGGTGGCGCGTGCCTGTAATCCCAGCTACTCAGGAGGCTGAGGCAGGAGAATTGCCTGAACCCAGGAGGCAGAGGTTGCGGTGAGCTGAGATCGCGCCATTGCACTCCAGCCTGGGTAACAAGAGCGAAACTCCGTCTCAAAAAAAAAAAAAAAAAAATCATACATGCAGTATTCTCGCAACTTTTCTATAGGTTCCCTAGGTTTGGTTTTGGTTTGGTTTGGTTTGGTTTGACTGGGCACGGTAGCTCACACCTATGATCCCAGCACTTTGGAAGGCCAAGGCAGGAGGATCACATGAGCCCAGGGGGTTGACACCAGCCTGATTAACATGGCAAAACCCTGTCTCTACAAAACACACACACACACACACACACACAAATACAAAAATTAAAAAAAACTAGTAGGGCATAGTGGTGCACACTGATAGTCCCAGCTCTGTGGGAGCTGGGGCGGGAGGATCACTTAAGCCCAGGAGGCAGAGGTTGCAGTGAGCCAAGATAGCATGACTGCACTCCAGCCTGGGTGACAGAGCAAGACTCCATCGCAAATGTAATGATAATAAATAAATAAATAAGCTGGGCGCAGTGGCTCAAGCCTGTAATCCCAGACCTTGGGAGGCTGAGGCGGGTGGATCACGAGGTCAAGAGATCGAGACCATCCCGGTCAACATGGTGAAACCCCGTCTCTACTAAAAATACAAAAAATTAGCTGGGCATGGTGGCGCGTGCCTGTAATCCCAGCTACTCAGGAGGCTGAGGCAGGAGAATTGCCTGAACCCAGGAGGCGGAGGTTGCGGTGAGCTGAGATCACGCCATTGCACTCCAGCCTGGGTAACAAGAGTGAAACTCCGTCTAAAAATAAATAAATAAATAAATACGTAAATACATAAATACATAAATAAATACATAAATAAATAAAAAGTTAAAAGTCACTAACCTATACGTATAAATTCTATTGCGGGATAGTAACATATTATTTCAGGTGCTTTAATAAAGTTAGACTTCTGGTGAAATAAGAAATAAAAAATAAAAAAATAAAGCACATGTCATGGGCAGAACTGTGTAGCCCCAAAATTCATATGTTGAAGCCCTAATCCCCAGTATCTCAGAATGTGACCAAGTGGGCCTTTAAAAGGTGACTGAGTTAAAAGCAGGAGGTCAGAGCAGGCCCAGATCCAATCTGACTTCCTAAGAGAAGAAGCTTGGACACACAGAGACACACCAGAGGTGTCACGTGAAAGCTGGTGCGAGGACACAGCAAGGCAGTGGCTGTCCACAAGCTGAGGAGAGCGGCCTCAGACGAGAGCCTCCGTGCAGTACCTGCGGCCGAAGCCGACAGGCCCTGGTGTTTGTTAGGGCTATCCTAACAGACTCAGCACAGGGAGGCCTTCACAGTTCATTAGACTCTGTCACCTAACCAGAGGCTTGCACATTTTTTACCACAACCCACAGTCAGGCATAAGTTTTACAATGCCCCCAGCATGTGCACACGTCCATGTATACTCTGTGTAAGGACAGCTTTGCAAAACAACACCCATACCTCTTATGAGCCCCTATTCTGTGCTAATATTTCATTTTTATTTTTATTAGACAGGGTCTGGCTCTGCTGCCAGCTGCAGTGCAGCGGCATGATCTCGGCTCACTGGAACCTCTGCCTCCTGGATTCAAGGAATTGTCCCACCTCAGCCTCCTAGTTAGCTCGGACTACAAGCATGTGCCACCACGTCCAGCTAATTTTTATATTTTTTTTTAGTAGAAATGGGGTTTGACCACGTCAGCCAGGTTGGTCTCCAACTCCTGGGCTCAAAGCAATCTGACCACCTTGGCTCCCAAAGTGCTGGGGTTATAGCCATGAGGTACTGTGCTAATATTACCTATTCTTGTCTATCCTGATTCATTCTTTTTAAAATGCCGGCAGGGCCCACCTATTGAGTACACAATCCCCAGGTGGTCCCAAAATGCAGGGCGAATATAGCTAGTTCAGCCAGCACACTCCCTACGTCAAGGCAGGGCACGCTGTACAGTGACCTCCAAGCCTGTCATGGTGGCAGGTGCCATCCCAGCCCCTGGAGTGGCAGCTCTCCACTGTCCTGGGCGCAGTGCCAGATCTGCACACTGCCCCCCACTTGGAGAGAAGCTACACGCTGGACTCTCGGGCATGGGGTATGGCTTGACATCCTCCCAGCACTGCCATCATCAGCTGGGAGGCCCTGTTGAAGCAAACAGACAACGGGAGGTCCCTGCAAAGCCTTCCCGGGAGACTTACCCCAGCGGAATGCACCATGCACTTGGGCGCGCCCGTGGTGCCCGATGAGAACATGATGAACAGTGGGTGGCTGAAGGGCAGCTGCTCGAATTCCAGCTGCGGGGCCTGCTCGCTGGGGCCGGTGGCAAGAAAGTCATCCAGAAACACACTGTGGTCAGAAACGCAGGGAAACACGCCGTGAACGTTCCAGAATGCTCAGCTAGACCCACTGATTCCACCTGCACAAGTTCCTCCGCTGCTACTCCAGGAAAGCCAGGATTTCAGGGGGACAGTGGCCTGATTTGGAAACTTCCCAGGATGAGGGGAGGATGTCAGATCTCAGAGACTGAAGCTAACTGAAGGAAAAACATTGAACTAGTGAAGGTTGCAAGTTGCTTAATCAGCACTGCTGGCAGGGCCAAGCGCTGTCTTTTAGAAAATCTTTTAAGTGTTTTCTTAACCACCAGGGAGAAGGATCACTTACAATTAACAAATCGGGTGTGTACAAAACAATGTGAAGGAGGGCTGATCACCTGATTAGCAAATGCTTTGTTTCCAGTGATTCCAATGATTGCCCAAAACCACTTGCCAAGTGGGTCTGAATTAAGATGCTTCCCCCATGGGAAGAAGGGGAAGGAGGTGGTGCTGAATTAAGGAGCCCTTGGGGGTAGGGAGTGGGGGGGGGGCAATTTCCTAAACCACAGCTCAGTGACAGAGAACCCGGAGGCAAATACCACGTGTTACCACTAACTTACTAGATCCTGAGGTTTACAACAGCAAGATACAAATATCTGTCCAAGAACAAATAAATTTCATCCCAATTACTGACTGTCACCCAGGAAGTATGCCCAGGCTGACCTCCAAAGCTGCCATACAGCATCACTGCAGGTGGCCAAGAACCACAAGATGGGCGATGGGAACAGATTTGTTTTTTATGCTAGAAACCTCCGCAGAAGCTACAAGCTGTCTTGAGGAAAGGTGGTTTTCTATTTTGAGATCAGCAGCAACATCCATCTCAAAACACTGGCCCTATACGCAATTGGCAAATGGAACTTTGTTTCAGGGAAGGAGGTGGGAATCGGCTAAGCGCAGCCTGCAGCCATTTGCTAGGGATAATTACTCTGAAATACAAACCCCATACATCCTAAAATGAAGAATTTGGCTGCCTTGCATGAGAAGGCATCTTTAAAGATAAAGGTTTCTCCTGGGAAAGACATGGTTAGAAAGGGCATCCAAGATAATTCAACTCTAAGCAAGAAATAAACAAAGCCATCTGCTCCAGCCTGTCAGGAAAAAACTATTCACTATGGAACTTTGCAGCCAATGAAAACCCCGTCCCACCTCCACCTCCTGTAAGAATCCCATTATAAAGTGCCCAGTCTAATCGGATACTTCACACAGAGAAAAGCCTTTTCTTTCAAATGGCCCATAAATCACAGTACAGAACGATTACCTCTGTCGCTCTTCCAAGAATGAAAAGCCCGCAGGGTGGCTCCCCCGACCACCCGTCAATTCTCCACAGACAGGCACATGTGTGTTTCTGGTTTATATGTGGCATCCACAATCAAAGGATGGATTGCAGTGGGAGTCCTGCCCCGGGGGTGCCGAGAGGGGGCTTTAGCATTGTGTCAGGCTAAATGCAGTGGCTAACCCGATTCTGCTGGATGCCCTCATTTTATATCAACTGCTGATGAATATTATTCAGAAAAATAAAAGCCAGGCCACCGGGGAGCTGGTGAATGCTGTCTGGTTTTCCTCTGAGCCTCCATGGGTCACGGCCTCCAACCATACAACTGGGGCACTAAAGCCGAGGTTGCATGAACTAAAGCCAGGGCGCCAGCACCGAGCTGTGCTTTACTAAGGTCCACAGGGTCCCACAGTCCACAGGGACAGGCACCCAGCTTGCCTGTGAAGGATCTGCCTATCCTGACCCAGGCGCTTCAGGGAGCAGAGCCCGCCGCAGCCGCACAGGGACAGGTGGGATCACGGGCACGCTGACCGTGCACGCTTTGCAGAGCAGCGGCTTATTTAATCCTCCCAGCCAGCCCAAGAGGACGATGCTGACAGAGTGTGGGTCATTGTCTCCACCCTCCTCTCATGTTGAAATGTAATCCCCAATGCTGCAACGGGGGCCTGGTGGGAGGTGTTTACATCATGAGGGTGGATTCCTCGTGAATGGCTCGGACCATTCCCTTGGTGATGAGTGGGTTCTCGCTCTGAGCTCACACGAGATCTGGTCACTGAAAAGTGTGTGGCACCCTGCCCCCAACTCTCTCCTCGACTCCTGTTTTCCCTGCATTGTGACCATGTAAAGTGCCTGCTCCACTTCCCTGCCACCATGGTCACAAGCTCCATACAACCTCCCCAAAAGCAGATGCCGGCACTGTGCCTCTCGCACAGCCTGCAGAACCATGAGCCAATTAAACCTCTTTTCTCATAAATCACCCAGTCTCGGCTGGGCACAGTGGATCGCGCCTGTAATCCCAGCACTTTAGGAGGCCAGGGCGGGCAGATCACCTGAGGTCGGGTGTTCGAGATCAGCCTGACCAACATGGGGAAACCCCACCTATACTAAAAATACAAAATTAGGGCGGTGCAGTGGCTCACTCCTGTAATGCCAGCACTTTGGGAAGCAGAGGGCAGATCATGAGGTTAGGAGATTGAGACCAGCCTGGTTAGCATGGTGAAACCTCATCTCTACTAAAACAAAAACCAAAAAAATTAGCCAGGCGTGGTGGCACACACCTGTAATCCCAGCACATTGGGAGGCCAAGGCAGGGGGGATCACCTGAGGTCAGGACTTTGAGACCAGCCTGACCAACATGGAGAAACCCCATCTCTACTAAAAATACAAAATTAGCAGAGCATGGTGGCGCATGCCTGTAATCACAGCTACTCAGGAGGCTGAGGCAGGGGAATCGCATGAACCGGGAGGCGGAGGTCGCGGTGAGCTGATATGGCGCCACTGCACTCCAGCCTGGGCAACAAGAGCGAAACTCTGTCTCTAAATAAATCAATAAATTACGCAGTGTCAGGTATTTCTTTATAGCAAGGCAGGAACGACCTAATACAGGTACCGTCTCATCTCCACTTTATAGGTGGAGAAACAAGGCTCAGAGAGGTCACTTGCACAGGGTCGCACAGCTCAGAGCTGAACCCGACAAGCTGGATCTGAGACCGCAGCCTTTGCCAAGGCCCACATTGCCTGCAGCACCCTTCAGCCTCTGGAATGTGCCTGGCACACCTAGCTGTACCCACACCCTGCTCATACCTAAAAGCCACCCACAGATGCCACCTCCCCAGACCCTACAGAGAGGCAACCAGGCCCTGCTCCCAACTCCTGGGCACATCCTGTCCCTCCCACTCCTAGAGGTCACAGCTCACCCTCCCTGCAGATAGGTCTTGCCTCTCCAACTGGACTGCAACTCCCAGAGGACAGGACACGTGCTTTGTACCTCTCGGTGCCCTGTGAACAACCTGACAGATGGCAATAAGCCATGCACCAACCACCGCTTGCTGGAACAAAAAGGCCTCTGCTATCTCCTCCTGTCTTCCATTTCTGCTCTCATGGCTGGTATGAGGACACCTGCCATGTCTGTGCAGCCCCTCCTCACCAGGCCTCAAGGAGCCACACACAAGGTGCCCTCCAGCAGCCCAGACCCAAGGCTCAAGGGAAAGCTTACCCTGAGAGGGGAAATGCCTGCACTCAGACCCTCCCCAACAGCAGCTTCAAGAAAAATTAAAGGAAGTAACTCCAAGAACTTAGAGAGAACTTCAATGTTGACTAAACCATAATCCATTTCCTTAATCTCTATTCAAAATTAAGATTTTTACAATTCTACTTGGTACACAGAATGTGGTTTATTCTTTTATAAATGTCAGAAAAACCAAGGAAGACATCATTAGCAATGGGGAATGCATGCATGCCCTAAAAGGTGAAAAATCAGGCCAGGTGCGGTGGCTTACGCCGGTAATCCCCGCACTGTCAGAGGCCGAGGCAGGCAGATCACCTGAGGTCAGGAGTCTGAGACCAGCATGGCCAACATGGTGAAACCCTGTCTCTACTAAAAACACTAAAGTTAGCCAGGCATGGTAGCAGGCGCCTGTAATCCCAGCTACTTGAGAGGCTGAGGCAACACAATCGCTTGAACCCAGAAGACAAAGGTTGCAGTGAGCCAGGACTGTGCCACTGCACTCCGGCCTGGGCAACAAAAGCAAGATTCTGTCTCAAAAAAAAAGGGAGGGGGGGTGAAAATTACATGTATGTGTGCTCATGTATTCAGTCATACATATGCATGTGCTCATGCGTGTGCACCTGTGTGTGTGTGCATATGTATAAATGCATGTGTGCACACATGTGGATATGCATGTACCCTGTGTCATGTGCGCGTGTGTGCAGTGCATACAGCCACACATGCACATGCATGTACACGTGAATTCTAATGCAGAATTTCTGTGGCCAATCTGAGAAGATGGGCTTGGCCCCACCAGAGTCCCCTACACAAAGGGACACCAGATCGGCAGAGTGAGGGTTCCTGGGACCTTCTCTCTTCCGCCATTCATTCACTATGAGGCCCCTGGTGCCTCATCTACAATATGATGCTTTTAACTAAGACCTCCTCCACTTCTTTTTTTTTTTTTTTTGAGACGGAGTTTCGCTCTTGTTACCCAGGCTGGAGTGCAATGGCGCGATCTCGGCTCACCGCAACCTCCGCCTCCTGGGTTCAGGCAATTCTCCTGCCTCAGCCTCCTGAGTAGCTGGGATTACAGGCACACGCCACCATGCCCAGCTAATTTTTTGTATTTTTAGTAGAGACGGGGTTTCACCATGTTGACCAGGATGATCTCGATCTCTTGACCTCGTGATCCACCAACCTCGGCCTCCCAAAGTGCTGGGATTACAGGCTTGAGCCACCGCGCCCGGCCAGACCTCCTCCACTTCTAAAATGCTGAGTGATCCCAAGTGGAAAGATCCAGAGACCTACTTCCCTGCAGGAGCTCCAGTGGGTTCCACACGGACCTGTGGGTCAGAATGCGGCGCGTTACCTGTTTGGAATCTTCGAAATGTCTATCTTCTCTCTGGAGGACACGTAAGGAATCACCACTACTTTCTTCAAGTCTGGGAGGCCTGAAAGGAGCAGGAAGAGAAAACACAGCGTACAGGAAAAAGATGCCTGGCTGCTGATTTTTTTTTTCCACAAAATATAACACATTCTAGGGCAGAGACTACCCAGGTTGACTCCGGGGAGACTCGTGTATGTGCACACACACGGCCATGCCGGCTGGGAGCCGGAAGGGCCACGCACCTTTAACCACCTGCTGCAGCTTTTCCATGTGGTTGTGCTCTTTGCCGTTATAGACAACAGCCTCCACAGAGAAGATGAGCTTTGGCTGAATTTGAGAAAACCGGTCCAGCACACCCTAAAAGCAGGAGGAAAAAGTCATCACTGATCATCCAAAAGGCAAAAGCCAGCAAGCATGGTGGTGGGCACCTATAGTCCCAGCTACTCTGGAGGCTGAGGTGAGAGCCTTGCTTGAGCCTGGGAGTTCAAGGTGGGAGGGAGCTATGCTTGCACCCTTGCATTCCAGCCTGGGCACAGAGTGAGACTCTGTCTCTCTAACAAAACAAAACAGCAAAAACCTTCAGTAGCCAATAGGACCACTGCGTTTCACGGGGAGACAAAGAGCTGCAGCATCAGTGCACGACCAGGCCCCTGTGTCCCAGCACCCATGGCCAATAAAGAAAGTTGATGAGGCCAGCCACAGTGTCTCACACCTGTAATCCCAGCACTTTGGGAGGCTGAGGCAGGTGGATCACTTGAAGTCAGAAGTTCAAGACCAGCCTGGCCAACACGGTGAAACCCCAACTCTACTAAAAATAAAAAATTAGCTGAGCATGATGGTGGCAGGCACCTGTAACCCCAGCTAGTCAGGAGGTTGAAGCAGAAGAATCACTTGAACCCGGGAGGTGGAGGTTGCAGCGAGCTGAAATTGGGCCATTGTACTCCAGCCTGGGCAACAAGACCAAACCTCAGTCTCAAAAAAAAAGAAAGGAATACCAGAAGTATTTACAGACATACACTGAAATAGGAAGACTATAGAGTATATGTGTGCACTACCAGAAAGATTTCCCGCTTTACAGAAAGAGCCTGTTAGCACAGCTCCACTAGGGTATACAAAAGAAGACTCATCTTCCTAAGAGGCAACGACAGCAAAGCAAAGTGGTCCCATGTTTTGGTTCTCTTGGAATCGTCAATTAAAGAGGAACCTGAATCCTCCAAGCAGTACATGTATGCCAACCAATCACATAAGCCCACACGTGCATACACTGGTTAACAGGCCCCATCTTAAAAAAGGCAGGATCACCACGCCCACATCTCCGTTTGTACGCCACGTGGCGTCTGCTCCAGCCAAGGGCATCTCTTTCCTAGAAGACGGGACTCCTCCTATGAAGGCATGAGCTTGTTTCTGGAACTCATAACATTCACGGATGCTCCCTGAGTGGTAGTCCAGATTATTAATTATTAACAGATGATTAATGTTAGTAACAGATTAAAGCACTCTGAGACAGGGCTTCTATTCACTTTCCTCCTAGCCATCGTCAAGGTCGCCCTGTGTTAAGAGTCCGCCATCCACAAACATGCATAGGCATCACCCAGATGGCCGCTATTCATTCCCTTGCACATGAGCCTGATGTAAGCAGTTCAAGACCCACACCTGGGCTACCCCCAGGGCACATGGAGCTGCCCCAGAACCTCTGAGTAAGGACTTCACAGGACAGGGCCCTCCACCCTGGCTGCCAGGTAACACCACCTACAGTGGGACTAAGTTAATTAAGCTCATTAGGATAACTAATTAACCGAGAGAAATAGCTGGCATTTGTTTTCAGAGCTCCCAGTGACTCTTAGTAGGGAAGTAGAAGCGCTGACTCTGCGGGAGTCTAAAAGGCAGTGTTAGGGAAGGGAGGCTGGACAGCTCAAAGTGTGGTCCCCAGGGCAGGCAGCGTCAGCCTCACCTGGGGCCCCAGACCTAATGAATCGGAAACCAGGCAGGGGGCCCAGCAATCTGTTCTCACCAGCCCTGCAGACAATCCTGAGATGTGATAAAATTTGAGAATCTCTGGGCTAAGAGTTCTAGGATTGCGCGTTTACTCTCAACACTGTACAATTTCCCAAACTAGAAGCTGAATTAACAGAGAAGGCTAGAGAGTAGAAAGCATTTGTTTATTCCAAGTGCTAGGTGCCAGGCACCATGCCAGGGAAACAGACAGATGGGGTTCCCAGTCCCTGGAACATCGATCTATCAGAAACACAAGAAGAAAACAATTGCAAATGTTATTGTTTTCCGTTTCCAATGTTTTCAGTAAACTACACTAAAAATTAGGTAGCCAGGGAGAGGAAAAGAGAGAAGGAAGGAATTAAAGCCTTAAGGAAAAACTAATGATGGACTTGACCCACAAAACCAAAAATCATTTTCCCTAAACAACCAATAACATAAGCTTCTTAGCAGGCACAGTGGCTCGCGCCTGTAATCCCAACACTTTGGGAGATGAGCTTGGACAGCTACAAATAATTTTTTTATTAAATTAGCAGGGCACCTGTAATCCCAGCTACTTGGAAGGCTGAAGTGGGAGGATTTCTTGAGCCCAGGAATTCGAGGCTGTAGTGAGCTATGGTCACACCACTGTACTCCAGCCTGGGCAACAGAGCAAGAACCTGTTTTAAAATAAAATACAAGTAAGCTTCTTGAAAAATCTGATCAAGAAAAAAACCTAACATTTCAGCTAGGCAAGGTGGCTCACGCCTGTAATCCCAGCACTTTGGGAGGCCAAGGCAGGCAGATCACTTGTGGTCAGGAGTTCGAGACCAGCCTGACCAACATGGAGAAACCCTGCCTCTACTAAAAATACAAAAATTAGTCGGGCATAGTGGTACATGCCTGTAATCCCAGCTACTCGGAAAGCTGAGGCAGGAGAATCACTTAAGCCTGGGAGGCAGAAGGTACAGTAAGTCAAGATCGCACCACTGCACTCCAGCATGGGTGATAGAAAGAGACTCCATCTCAAAAAAAAAAAAAAAGAAAGCTAACATTGCCAGTTACCCTTTGCAGAACACCTACTGTGTGTCAGGTGCTGCCCTAAGCACTGGACCAATATTCATTCATTTACTGCTCAAAATAACCGTGGACATGGGTGCCCTTATCATCCTCATACTGCAGATGAATAAACTGAAGCATGTGGCCTCTCAAAACTTGAAATCACACTTAACTACAGAATAAAAGATTCATGGCCGGGCGCGGTGGCTCAAGCCTGTAATCCCAGCACTTTGGGAGGCCGAGGCGGGTGGATCACAAGGTCGTGAGATCGAGACCATCCTGGTCAACATGGTGAAACCCCGTCTCTACTAAAAACACAAAAATTAGCTGGGCGTGGTGGTGCGTGCCTGTAATCCCAGCTACTCAGGAGGCTGAGGCAGGAGAATTGCCTGAACCCAGGAGGCGGAGGTTGCGGTGAGCCAAGATCGCGCCATTGCACTCCAGCCTGGGTAACAAGAGCGAAACTCCGCCTAAAAAAAAAAAAAAAAAAAAAAAAAAGATTCATGAGCAAGAAAACAATGTTTAGACCAGGCTCAGTGGCTCACGCCTGTAATCCCAGCACTTTGGGAGGCCGAGGAGGGCAGATCACCTGAGGTCAGGAGTTCATGACCAGCTTGACCAACATAGTGAAACCCCGTCTCTACTAAAAACACAAAAATTAGTTGGTCACAGTGGCACATGCCTGTAGTCCCAGCTACTCGGGAGGCTGAGGCAGGAGAATCGCTGGGAGGTGGATGTTGCAGTGAGCCGAGATCATGCCATTGCACTCCAGCCTAGGTAACAGCGAGATTCTGTCTCAGAAAAAAAAAATGTGCAATAGATTTTGAAATCCAGATAGGATGGATGACTTCAAGAAAATATCAACTACCAAAATTTATTCAAAAAGCAGCACAACATCTGAAGCAACAAAGGTCTACCTCCTACAGGGACACCAGGGTGGGCAGCTCTGCAGGAGAGCACCACCAAGTCTCCTCCGTGAGCTAGAGCATCCCTTCCATGTAAGCCACTACAGAAGGCAGAGAAAGGAAACATACAACCAAAAGAGAGAGAGAGATTGGCCGGGAGCAGTGGCTCACGCCTGTAACCCCGGGACTTTGGGAGGCCGAGGCGGGCGGATTGCCTGAGGTCGGGAGTTTGAGACCAGTCTGATCAATATGGTGAAACCCTGTCTCTACTAAAAATACAAAATTAGCTGGGCATGGCGGTGTATGCCTGTAATCCCAGCTACTCAGGAGGCTGAGGCATGAGAACTGCTTAAACCCGGGAGGCAGAGGTTGATGTGAGCCAAGATTGTGCCATTGCACTCCAGCCTGGACAACAAGAGTGAAACTCTGTCTCCAAAAATAAAAAAAGAGAGAGAGAGAGAGATTACACACCAATGTTACTGACTACAGCAACGGACTAATGAAGGGGGAAATCGGATGATTATCTTGGAAGCTTCTGATAAAAGGCAACATGCTTTCCACCCAAAAAGCTTTAATCAGCTGGAAACTGAAGCAAACTTACTGACAAAAGGTATCTAGCAGACACCTGACAGCACATATCACACTTGATGGTAAATGAGAAGATATCCAGTGAGAAGAGAACACACAAGACACCCATCCTCCACCTGTGCCGAACACGCCCACCTACGCAACAGGGTAGGAACTAGAAACAGCTTGCCCCCTGCACTCAACGCGAACAGCTGCACACAAAACCTGTGAAAATCACCAGAAAAACCATTAGAACAAATCGAAGTTAGGCAAAGTGGCCACATATAACTCAATCCAGCAAAATAAATAGTGCTGTTAAACCCCAGCAATACAGTTTGAAAAGGTAATGGGGGCCGGACGCGGTGGCTCACGCCTATAATCCCAACACTTTGGGAGGCCAAGGCAGGTGGGCTGCCTTGTGTTTCACCTGGCCAACATGGTGAAACACCGTCTCTACTAAAAATACAAAAATTGGGCCGGGCGCGGTGGCTCAAGCCTGTAATCCCAGCACTTTGGGAGGCCGAGGCGGGTGGATCACGAGGTCGAGAGATCGAGACCATCCTGGTCAACATGGTGAAACCCCGTCTCTACTAAAAATACAAAAAATTAGCTGGGCATGGTGGCGCGTGCCTGTAATCCCAGCTACTCAGGAGGCTGAGGCAGGAGAATTGCCTGAACCCAGGAGGCGGAGGTTGCGGTGAGCCGAGATCGCGCCATTGCACTCCAGCCTGGGTAACAAGAGCGAAACTCCGTCTCAAAAAAAAAACAAAAAAAAACAAAAATTAGCCAGGCGTGGTGGCATGTGCCTGTAGTCCCAGCTACGTGGCTGAGACAGAAGAATCGCTTGAACCCGGG